TTTTCAAATCTCGGCACATGAACAAGGTATGTGTTTAATTAATTCGAGGTTTGCCTCCCATGTAAACACTTGTTTTAATCTAATTTTTGTAAACTTTTTTAGACTGTACTTTTTTGCTCAGCTTTGTTGTGCATCCTCACAGAAACATACATTTTTACGGTTCCAGTACACTTACATGCCAATTCTCTTCTGCAGACATTTCATCGTGCAGTGGAATCCTTTTCTGGGTCATTGCTGGTTTGTCCCTTGGTTTGAATGTTGCCTTAACAGTCTACATTGCATTGGTTTGGTGAGTTATTACTCATTCTGTTGTGAATATAAAAATTCTCCTGATGTCTTTGGAAGAAAACCTCTGATTCCCTTTCCCTTTTGATTGGTCACAGCAAGCAGAGACGAAACAAGGAGCCCAACGGGGAGGAAAGAACTTACATGTCCTTGGATCGTAAAGATGTCATCAATTCTTCAGAGTATGAAATCATTACTCCCAAAAGACTAAATCTGTGAGCAAAGAGATGCTCTTTCTCTGTCTTTTTGGATATCTTTTTTCCAAATGGCATTACCTTTAGCAGCATTTGCAGTTACTATAAGCTTTCTATGTTCAGTTATGCATGAAACAGAAACATTTTTACAAGTGTTGATTAATATTTTTCGCTGAGCATCAATTCCTAATCATTTGATAAATACGAAAAATGTCTAGATTTTGTTTTGTTGGTTTCCTTTAATCTGAGTGTTTTTTTTTCTATTTTCCTGCACTATGATGTAAGTTAGTGTGTCTTTTTATACATTGGACGGTGACTGTATTGTATGAATACAAATTAATTAAACATAATAACTTTTGAATGAGATTTTTTTTAAACTTTCCTTTTGTTGCTTTATCTTTCCCAAAATAAACCAATGTTACATGTTCCACCGGAAAAAGATTAAGTAAAGTAACATTTAAGTTTAAATTTACACGTAGAAAATTGCCTGTAATTTGATCCTAACTTAATTGTTTTGTCAAAAATAAGCTGGGGAAAGAATATAAAGAAAGAAGTGCAGTGTGAATATGCTCAGGCTCAAAAAACAAAACTATATACATATATATATGTTTTGTTTTATATATATATATAAAACATATATATATATATAACAAAACAAACAAACAAACAAAAAAATAATAATAAATATATGTGTAGACATAGACAAATGGATAAATATTGGTACTGGGCAAAAGGAAGGGTACATCCTAAACAGGTCCCCAGTCCATAACAGGGACACACCATCCAACAACCACACATACTTACACTCATTCTTAAAAGGCAGTTTAGAGCAATTTTAGCATGAGTGCTAACCACTACACAATCCGTTTTTATTAGTTGATTAGAAATAATGCATGCAGACACCAGTTGGGTCTTGGTTTGATATTTAAGACAGATGTATGTCAGACTTGCTGTTTCGAGGTCAGAAAGTTTCCTGTTCGAGACTGAAACAGTGGGGGCGTATAAAGCCTTAACTTGTGGTAAAAGGGTCAACTTGAACTTTGATAAAAGACCAGTGGTTCATCACAGATGCATTCATGCAGCAACTGGTAAGGTAAGCTCTCTGCTTCATTCATTACATGTTTTTCGGTCAAATTAAAAAGGATATGGTATAAATAGTGAGTTTTAACCCAAATAACTATCAAAATATCGATTGAAAATCGATAAAAGTTTCATATGTTTGAGGCCTAGAAGAATCAAACAGCATTGTTAGTCGGTCTCTGAATCTGAAAAATTTGCTTTGCCAATGTGTGTTATTTATATAATCTATGATCCTTTTGATCTCATGAGAGGAACCCCTACCAAGCTGTTTTGCTTCAGGAGTAAAACAGTGTCTGGCTGAATGTTAAGACGACATCTGTGATGGAGGCTACTTATCTGCTTGAACTGTTCATCTTCATTACGGGTAACGATTTAACTTTGTGAGAGCATGCACTGTTTTTGGTTCCAGTTTTTTTTTTTTTTGTTGCTTTAGTTTTTTTTATTACTGTGTTGCTTTTCACTGGCTAAAATAAATTTTAAAAGAAAAATTGTCACACACTAATGAGCACAAATGACTAATTTAAAAAATATTACATCTTGTACATTTTATCATCATATATGTTTATTTAACACGTATGAGGAAACTGTCTGCTCTGTAGCTGTGGTGGTATATCACAACTTATTTCTAAGAAATGTTAGCTGTCTTCTATCATTTCAATATGGTGAACAGCTCTTAATGCCAAAGAACAACCTTTTATTTGCTTATCATTTCGAGTGACCTCTCATTTTATGCATTCTAAAACAGATCATCCACAACTGCCCTTTGCTGTCATCTATAATGCATCTATTGTCCCTGATGCTTTTCTATCCAAGCTCTCTGGCAGGTGAGAAGCAGGAGCGTTCGTGTGCCTACAAAAATCACAGCACTGGAAGGGAGCTGCGTTGTGGTGCCATGTCACACAAAACCTCACGTTCAAGTCATCTGGTACAAGTACCATAAAATACATTATCCTGTGGTGTACAATGAACTCGAACCCCGGACCGTGGAATCTCAGTTCAGGGGACGTACGTCGGTGGTGGGCAAAGCTGCAGAGGGAAACTGCTCTCTGATGATTGACCACATCAAGTCAGCTGACAACAATCTACAAGTCTACGTGTGGATTTTACCAGATTTTGGGATTAAAAGATTCCATGATAAAACTGTAACTATCTCTGTCGGTAGGTAAATGTTTATAAAATGTCGATCTAATTTAAGATATTAGGTTTTTACAACGCGTTTGAGGCCTGTTAAGTAATAACCAGCCAGTTAAGAGATTTAAACAGGTCATTGATGAGATATTTTCATTGATTTTTAAGTTGGCTCTTCTTACTATTTTACTTTAGTGAGGGCAAGTCCCACTATCTCTTTCGAGGGCCTCCTCGTGGAGGAGGGCATTTTTGAAGCCAACTGCAGCATAAAGCACTCCTGTCCGGTGTCACCACCTGTACTTCGCTTGGACGGGAGTACAGGTCTGGAAAACTCCACTTCGATGGATTTCCACACAGAGAGCGAGGGGCAATGGCTGCACAGAGCGCTGCTGCGAGGAAAAGTCACACGCCAAATGCACAACAGCAAAGTTAGATGCTCTGCACGGTTCGAACGCTTCACCACACAAAGTCAACAAATAACCCTCAATGTTTTATGTAAGTAAAAATACTTTTGCCTGTTCAAATGACAGTATGTGAAAGAACAGCATTTACCCGTCGTGTTATATTTGAAAGAGCCGTCTTTGTATGATTTCCTGTGTTCACAGATAAACCTGCCTCTGTGAGGCTGATACCAGAAGAGAAAGCGCTGATGGAGAGGGACAGTGTCACGATAGAGTGTGCTGCCGACAGTAACCCAAACCCACACTTTTACACTTGGTTCAGACGGCAGATGGGCAGGACGAGTCAAATAAATTCAACACAGAGAACAATGTCGTTCCACAACGTTACGCGACATACTTCTCTGTCGTGTATGGCTCACAATGACGTTGGAGTGGGGCAGTCCGAGTGGATGGATCTGGATGTCAAGTGTAAACAATCTTATAATTCCAACTATCTTTAACATATGTGCTCATATAATTAAAAAATTGGAGCCCTTTGCTTGCTAATGACCAAAACTGCCACAAATTAGCAACTGTTCTGATCTCTAAATGGAGAGAGTGAGGATGCATCTGGCCATTTTCTGTCTGAACGTTGATATTTTTCTGACAAAACTACACATAGGATACATTAGTTAATATATTTGCCATAGCTGAGAAAAAAATCTTCAGGAGAACCTCTCCATAATCCTCAACCAAATAAATTGGTCTTTGGTTGGTGGCAGTTTATATGAAGAGGAACCTCTAGAACTGCACACACAGAAAATAATTATAATAATTATATAATTATATAATTGTTTTGGCGATTGGGTTTGAATAGGATTGGGTTTTACCCACTGTACCCACAACGCAAATATTGGCGCAGAGTTTTGTCTGAGTTGTCTTGACATTGTTTTAATTGGGTTAAGGGTTATTATGCAGACTTTGAAATAAACTTCTAAGTCGATAATGGATTTAGATTTAAGAAAGGTTTTGTTATATGTTACATAACAAAATGTGTGTATCCCCTTTCTTTAGATGCCCCACTAATCCAGCCTGAATCGTCCTGCAGCCTGCAGCGAAACGTGATGAGATGTCTCTGCGTCGCTGTGGCCTTTCCCAACGCCTCCATTTCCTGGATTATCGATGGAAATGATACTCTCCAATCTTCACTCTTCCCAGTCATCTCGATAAATAAAAATGTAGCTCGTGGAGAAATAAGTTTTCTGAAAAACAGGCCTACTAACGTGTCCTGCACGGCCTGGAACCAGTTTGGCAGTGACATCAGACATGTTTACAGCTGTTCCACGCTTTGTCAGACAGACAGCTCCACTTGTGAGTTACACGCAGAGCAAGATTATCATTTTTTGTGTGTCATATTGACTGATGAAGATGTTTTTTTTGTTTGTTTTTTACAGCCTCTTTGGTCATTTGGGTAATATTCTCAATATTCCTGGGAGGTTTACTGTCAGGATGTGGAACTTTTATTTTCAGAAAATATCTCAGAAAGAGGTTTGAATATTTTCTTTCATATCATAGTTGTATTTCAGTAAAGATGATAAAGATTGTGTGAAAAGACTACGGAGGGATGTGTGACACATGGTTGAACAGTTAAATTATGTTAAGGACTTTTGAAATTCAAACTTACTGTTGTTTCTTTTAGGTGACAGGTTTTTGTCTCTGGTAAATGGATCTTTCTGACAAGATTATCTCTGTGTTTTCTTGCAACTAGAACACGAGTTAAAGACTCAGACCCGAGCCGTCAGAGTGCGGTGCGGTACTCTGAGGAGGGGAGACTTTCCTGTGTTTATGATAATTATTTGGAGGACATGAAGAGATCGGAAGATCTTCAGCAACTTGAAAACAATTCCGCACTCTATGACAGCAATGGTGGAACACAGTCAACACCAAAGGTCAGCCGAATAATGCAAAAATAGTGGCTCAGTATATTTGTTGTCTTTGCATGGATCTTATTTTCAAATCAAAGATGTAGTGCTTATTTTGTCTCTCCTCGCTGAATGTTTTAACTTAAGACATTTTACTCCTTACAGGACGTGCATTGCATCATGGATGACTATCTTCTTCCTGATTAGAGAAAACTCACTGCAAAACGTCACAGTAAGTCCGCTGAGTTTTCCACGCATAAGTGTACAATATTGCTTTTGTGAAATGTATTAGACTTGTTTTGGGCTTTCAGTTTGTTGCAATGTGGTAAGACTCATCCATAGCTATTCCATTAAGTATTCTAACTTCAATGGATGGTTCTGCAAAAAAAAAAAAAAAATCATATCAAATGTCAACATACATAGGGCCATATATACTTCATGTTGTACATACTGTAGTTGCTTACTTTGACCAAAATAACTACTTGAGCTATATTTGCAGGTTTAATATTGAATTTATAGCTTTTGTTCATCCTGTTAAAACCATAGCTGAGTTCTAAGAATTGAAAACATTTGTAAATCTTCGTAAAAATGATATATGAAAGTACTTGGGATGTAAAATGCAAGCCAACATTCACTGATAATTTTTTCCACAGACAGCTAGTAAACATGTCCTGCAGTTTTTGCATTTCAGTAAATATTAACCAGCCTGGGAGAGCTTATTGCTCAGTAGGGGATGTATAAAATGATGTCACAGGGTCACTGGGTAACAGTGTGACTTGCTGTTTCCGGCTTCAACCATTTTATATGAAGTAATCTTTGAACCCCTGAAACACAAACTGAATACCTTTGATGAACATCAACTGACGCATGAAGTCTGGATGTTTTCGATTGTTTTTTCACATCTTGACCATTTAAACATCTATTCGTAAGTGAGTAAATCTAATCTTATAAAACAGCTCCTTTGTATAAATGCCATTTTTAAGAGTTGTATGCTTTACCAACTTAAATCATGATGGGATGAAAGCCATGATGAGGTTTGAAAATACATTGTTGATCAAAACGTAAAGATCTGAATTCTGCTTTTATTTCTAATTGTAGGCTCCGGTTGAGGCTTTTTTTGGTTTACTAATTGGATTTCCATCATATGAATAAATGTTTTCCTTGATTTTCTCAGCATCAGAAGTGAATACATTGTCCATACTACATGCATGAAGCTGCCTAATTGTCCCTGTCGTATATTTCAAATTTATTATTTTCTTTAGGTCAATGATGGGGTCAGCGGTGAAAACTGAGATAATTCTCTCAGGTTACATCATTTCCTTCCTAATTGGATTCCCTTTGAACCTTTTGGCACTCTATGCTTTCAGTGTCAAGATTCACCGCAAGCCGCTCCCCACAGACATCCTGCTGCTTAATCTGACTGTTTCTGACCTGCTTTTTTTGATCACCCTTCCTCTGAAGATGCATGAAGCAGTGTCAGGCATGGAATGGAATCTTCCAGCCTTAATGTGCTCCATCACCTCCTTCATCTTTTTCTCCACCATCTACACCAGCTCCTTGCTGCTGATGGCAGTGAGTGTGGTCCGCTACATGGCCGTGGCCTTCCCCGTCACCTATCACAAGCTGAACAAACCTTTGTACCCAGTTATTGCGAGTGCTGTTATCTGGATCATTTCAGCGGTGCACTGCAGCATCACTTTCTTCGTCCAGCACCACCCATCCCTGGCCAGCGCAAACTCCAGCGTGTGCTATGAAAACTTCACTGAGAAGCAGCTGGAGGTCCTCCTTCCAGTACGTTTGGAGATGTTCTTTGTGCTCTGCCTTTTCCCTCTTGTTATCTCCATTTACTGCTACTTGCACCTGATAGTGATTCTGTACAGCCGACAGAGGATCTCCTGGATGCAGAAGAAGAAGGCTGTTGGCATGGCCTTGGGTACGCTTGCTGTGTTCTTCATTTGTGTTCTGCCATACAACTTATCTCATTTGCTGGGTTACATAGAGGGCAAGAGTCCTGAGTGGAGGTATTACACATTGCTTCTTAGCACTTTCAACACTTGTATTGATCCCATTATTTTCTACTTTTCCTCCTCTGTTTTCCAATGCACAGGCAAAAATGGATTTTTTACAAAGAATAGGGTTAACATTCTAAATCTGCAAGCAAAAGCCACCTGCTCTAGCTAAAAGTAGAACAGACTTCCACTAAGCCATGTGTGTGCAAAACTTTAATACTGTTATATTAATAAGTTCCTTATACCTTTAGATTCTAATGTCACCTTGTTTGTGAAATTCAGTTTTTTCATGGTATTGGTTTTTTCACTCTTTGCTATGGACCTTGGCACATAAAAAGAAAAACAGAAGACATGTTTGCTGTTGGTGCACATTTATTTTCAATCATTTGCTGGAAGATGCTTATTTTAACTGTGTTAAAATCTTCTTCATTTTGACTTGTTATTTCTCATTTTTATTAACGCGGGCCTGTCACTCTTCTGCACTCATGCATTCTGTAGGCACACATGTAGAAAATACCTGCAAAACAAAAACAAAGATGAGCTGAAATGAGCTCTAGTGTTTATGTCATGAATAATAAATTGTCACAATGGTTTACTTTTGTGGCAATAACTATTTCTTAACTATGTATTCAGTTGATTTTGCATAGACTCTCACAAGTGAACAAACTGAGGCTGTACTAGTTTCTGATGCTTTGAGAATATATATGAATTAAAGGCTCAAGATGTTTTATATCTGTAATACTGTTTGTCTTGTAAATTCTTGAAAGCTGTGTTCCAACCTGCAAAGAAATTCATGAGCAGTGCCACCCAGCCCAGTATGTAGGACCAAGAGAAACGCCAGTCACCAAAACGCTTTCCCAGGAAGTTCACTGTCACCCCAGTGTAAATGGCCATTGCAAGCAGAACAAAGAGAGCTGTTGTGGTAGAGAGTGGCATAATGAATAAATAAGGTAATTCAATTTGCTCCACAGTAACAATTTAACAGTGCCAGAACAGACATTTTGCATCTTAATCACAATGATTTGCAATACAGCATGATATTCAGGATAAAAATGGAGTGGAGAAAAAATAAAAGTAGGTATTAATCATTTTGTAAATCCTTTACTCACTTGATACAAAGAACATGATCCCCGCAGCAAATGAGCGATTGAACCTCTCAAAAGCAGAAAAGTGAGCAAAAGACAAGATTCCTGCAATGATGCCAGCAAAGCATGACATGGCAGATAGGATCATGAAGGCACGAGTAGCATTCCAGTAGGCTGAGGAGGAGAAAACAGGGGAAAAGGAGAATCCTAATGAAGACATATGCAACTACAAACAGTTTTATGTGCAACTTCAAAACTCGCAATTTTTTTTAAAAAACTACTTCCAATTGTTTATTGATTTAAGGATAAATAAAAATGTCCTTATTCATAAACCATAGCAGTGTTTGCATGTTGTTTAACACAGACAATGCTGTGTAAAATTAGTATTTAGACATAACTTTCTGGCACTTTATTATTTTAAAGTTTTTTTTTTCTGAATTTTTTTGGGTGTCAGAGAAACTTGTCTCTAAAGCGGAAATAGTATATGTGAATTGGAAACAGCAGAAGCTCTAACATTAGTAAGAAGGTGTGCTGAAACTCCAGTCATAGCAAGGGCCATCAAGACACAGCGCTAAAGACATGTTATATGTGTAGGAAGCTTTTGTAGCGTCTAATTTCTTTCTTCAGAATCCAATTTTATATATTTTGTAAGACCTGAAGTTCATTACAAGTTCATAACAAAAACAGAAGGCACAAAGCTCTACTATATTGTCTTTTGTCTATACCTTTTTTTTCACTTCTGCTGTCATAAACGAAATGTTACTTCAGATATTTTGTCCCTAATTTAAACCGTTTGGTGTAGATTTTGACAATGATATTAAAAATAAAAATGTAAATGGGCAGCACTCTGAATGTTCAAATGTGTTGTGCAACACTATTCCTAATTTTAATTTTTATTAAAGTGTGAAACATGCCTGCACACCAGTCGTATGATATCCTGACTTTAGAGCAAATTTCACAAAAGTTTTCTATAGCTGCTGCATATTTTCTTTCTGAATCACCCAGAAATATGTTTCCATACTTACCAATGCTGTCAGTCTGCATGTAGCATTTACCAGACATGCAGTATCTCCACAGGCCCTGATGGGCAAAGCTGCCAGACAGACGGTACTGCATCCAGTAGTCTGTGGCTGTGGAGACCACCAACAAGATGTTCCCCACAATGGCACAGAACAGGCCCCCTCCCATGAAACTGTACATCATGAGTGACACTATGACGTTAGCCAAGGCTTTATGCACTGTGCAAAAAGGAGAGAAGCAAGATACATCAGAGGTGAAAGTTATCATGTTAATTTTCTACGGCAGGTTTTGTACCTTGTTTAAATGTTTATTTTAGTTCGAATCGTATTGGAAAGAAAAGATTCAGTCTTGCTGTGTTGGTCATTTAGGTTTTAAGACATTCATTTAAATTTAGTTTCTCAGTTTGTTTAATCAGGAAGAGCTCTAACGATAAAGCGGCAGACGTGAACCCTTTTACAGCATGTGTGTATATGTGTGTGTGCTCATTTTGGGCCAACACTGTTCCATAGAGCCAGCATCTAACGTTGCTTTCTCAGGAGACTGAAGATCCACGGGTGTGTTTAAGTATTTATTTATGTATAGGATGTGAAGTCTGTTATAAAAATAAAGCCTAGCCTATCACAGAAGCTGCAGACCGTCATTTTCATCGAGCCAACCGCAAAGCAAAAAATACCCAAGATATAAAATAGACAAAGCCAACAATGCTTTATCAGGAAGTGGTAAGTGAAAAATAACTTCTGTAAAAAGATAAATAGATATCACACATCTGTGTAAATTTGCTGCTCTGAGCTGGCAAATGTAACAAACATTGCATCCTTCAATTTCTAGGATGTGTGGTCTAAGCATTTGTTAGTGTGTATTTATATACATTTAGATATTCCCTATTTACAGTGGAGCTGCTACAAGAGTCTAATCCAGTTGAATACAACACTTAGGAAAGGATTAAAACACAATTCAATTCAAGTGAATAATGAAAAATAGAGATATTGGAAGAGAACACTCTGACATAAATATATGCGAAAAATGTTGTCTTTGTGTAGCTAGGGTGGACTTAAGTATTAAAAGTTTATGACTGGAATATACAGAAGGCCATGATAGCCCATATTCATGAGATATACTTGTAAGTTATTTGGCATTCACATGAATTTTCTTTAACTACTGTTTACAAAAAGTGGCTTTAAAAAGAGAAAACATTAATCACTCCTTTTTGCCTTACCAGAATTCCTCAGGATAAATCAATCCTCTTAAGTATTAGCCTTTCCTCAGGGAAAGAGCGAGAGGGAGTACAAGCCAGGAGTGAGCAAAACGTAAAAGAGGAAGCCCTAGGCTGAATTCCAAAAGGTTATCCCCTCCACTTTTCTGTTGATGGAGGCAAAATCCTTTAAAACAATCAGCACAGAACAAATGCACTTGAGCTGATGGACCCAAAGCCACGTGACCTGGTCACTGAACTATATAGGAGAAATTTGGGAGTCAGGGAAGAGGGGAGGGGCGATGGTGTTGTAGTAGGAAGGGTGGGGAATCTGTGATATGAGGCTGCTGCAGCACGGCCCTCGTCTGTTGTTCTACCAGGCGTTCTGGAACTGTGGATGTGCAAAGGCTTGCAGTACTGTGGTGGTCAATGGAACATGCTGAAGTTCACACTTTCTTTCAGTGTTGCGGGGGTGTGGTGACACATGCACGCTGAGAGTGGATACATGACCAAAGAGCCGAGAAAAACGAACTGCTGCATGCAGAATGCGCCGTACGTGTTTAACCTGTGTTTATTTTCAACTTGTATATTCATAATGATGTTGTAATGTGTTGCACTCAGAGTGAATGACAGGCCAATGCACCACATTGAATGTGCATATAGTTTGTAGAGCTTCAACACAAATGACGTGATCATTTCCACATTTACAGAGGCAGTAAAGTGTGCACAAGACTTATAAGGTAAAAAATGTGTGGGTGCAATACATTTGGCAACGAGGTTGCTATTGCTTGTGAAGACAAAACAGCCTCAACATGATTAAGCATTTTTGCCTCTCAACAAATTCACACAGTTTTGCGCAGCAGGTGATCAATTTTAGTCCTTATGACTAACTAACTCATGCTATCAACACAAAGAAAATAGAGCAGACTTGTAATAATCCATCCGTTTTCTATATCCACATATTTAAAGGTATTGAGGCTAAAACCCAGGTTCCATTGGACAGGAGATGGGACCCTGGACAGGTCACCAGTCCATCCCAGGGCCACACAGAGACAAATGAGAACGACAACTCTGCCCCCTCACATTCACGCCTAGAGTCCATTTAGAATCACCATTTAATCTAACATGCCTATTACATGACTAGTATATTTTATCAGAAAAGTCACAGATTGCCAATTTACTTGTGTCACAACTAATGACGTAGTTGGTGGCATGTGTTGTATGATTTAACAAAATATTTAAACATTAGGTGCCATAAGGACACTATGATCTTTGTATACTAATGTTTGCTCAGTCACTTCCTGTCAACCTCAGATCTGCTTCCTCATTTGTATGACTAGCGTGCTATTTTCCTCAACTAACTGGGCTTTGTCCCTGTCTCCTACCAGAACTTATACTATTTTACTCATATTTCAGCTGATGCAAACAAGCTGCTATATTGTACTATTGTTTTTAAAGAAGAACTTTGCTGTGATCAACAATTTTGCTCATCCTAAAGAGCAAACATGTGTTATAGTTTAATGGATTCCCATGAAGCTATGACTCTCACTGCGGCAGCATGTGTATTAATTGCAGATCAAGGATGCTGCAGCTCAGACAGATAAGAGATTATTTCAAACTCTCCTCTGGGGGAGGCAGTTTTTTTAATAGCCTCCTGTTTTTTACCTTTCCGTTATGTGGTCGGCAGTACAGAAAAGGTACTTGTCAGTCTAACATCAGACAAGTTGCTTAATAGAAACATGCTGATCCAACCCAACTGCAAATAATTTAAGTTTGTTAAGTGATTTGTTCCTGTTAGTTTTACACCAAGCACTTTAATTTCCACACAATTCTGTGGTCTTCTGTCACCATCAACTAATTCTATTGTGTCAAGCTAATTTTTCTAGTTTGTGTTGACATAATCAGTTAGATTTGATGTGATGTATTTTCTGACACAAAGTCTTGGCACAATCGGTTGAGCTAACGATGCATTAGTGGTTCATTGAAGTAGTGTTCGTTAGTGGGGGTTGCTCATATGAGTCTTGCAATTGTAGTTAGATCCATTTTCATTCATTGCTTGAACACAATAGTATATTTTAATTGTGTTGAAATGACAGGTTTGTTTTCTGAGAGCAGGTCTATTTTTACAAATGAGAACAGCTAACCATACGAATAAACTTAACTTTAACCCTATAATACCAAATGTATTATATTTGATAGATACGATTTCTGAATTCTTTTGGATCTGAGACTGTTTGCATCATTCAGTGGTAAAAGCTTTGCTCAAACCCCTGTAGTACACATTCAGATATACCTGATAACTCCCAGAAGAAAACTACACCAAAATATATTTTTGACTTATTGCACGCTAATTTGATCAAAATAATTTCAGTTTGTTTTTTTTCATATGTTGTTGAGGGGCCAAAGAAAGACTTAAGACTAAAAAAATCCAATATTCTTCCTATTTTTCTTGGATCAGGCTTTAAAGGGTTAACAACTGTATTTAAACATATGATGCTCAGTTTAGGATTTGTATCTTTCATAAACCGCTGTTAATCCATTCGATTGCCAAAGGAGGTTGGTTGTGTGTTGTTTATAATCACTATAGTCTTGCATGCAAGAACACCAATATGAATCTATGAGACAAAATGAAGGTGTCAGGTGTTTAAAGTAAAAAAAGTTAGGCAAACCCGGATGATGCAACCTCATCTACATGGGATTATCTGTGGTAGATATTTCAGACACAACGTCGGTATAAGTGGCAGCGCTTCTTAATAATCAGTCTGCAACTTCCCCGGGTGGAGGTCTACCTCATGTTTTCTTCCTCAAATTTTCTTCCTCAACGGGTTAGTAGCCTTTGAAAACAGATGTCTCTACTTCTTTTTTATCCAGTAATAAAACATAACTCATGACAAATTGACGCTACTTATTGCCTCAGTTAGTAATTCATTTATTCCAGCCATAATATGGAAGTGTATCTTATTATTATCAATATCATTATCTATTATTTATGTGCTGTCCTCTTTTTCTTGTCTTTTGTTAGTTGCGTTGTGTGTGCTGTCTGATTGGAGACTGCAAATTGAGTAGCTCTACTTGGGATAAATAAAGTTAATTGAATTGAATTGTAAAAAAACTTAAGCATATTATTAATTAGGCTGTTCATAATTTCCTGCATGATTCTATTAGTAATAGTGAATGATAGCAGCCCCCACTGGAACTGGCCCACTCAAACTCTTCTATCAGAATAGGTGTTTTTACACCCTTCGTGTCATCGAGGTCTTTCACTGCTCATTGGCACCATCTACTGGACAGAAAATAATTTGAGAGGTCATCGGTCATGCACACTCCTTAACAGATTTATTACACTGCCTGTTTTATTGTACGAGATATTTGACAACCCTGTCCAATTCTAAAAAAACAGGGGTTTTCAGTATTAAACCTGAATACAAAATACTATGTCATTTTACAGTCTTACTCTGAGTGTTTTTATCTACGTTTTGACATATTTTATTAAGTTCAACAGGGTGTCTAGCTGTTCCCACAGACTTCATTTAGATTTGTATGATCAGTCTTTGAGTTTATGAAATCCAATATGGACTTTGCCTTGGTGATTCTGGATCTGCAGGCTTTGGGAAAGCCACCATTCTTTCCGTTAAGCGCTCCTCCATCAGTCGTCAGCTTGTGGTCATTCTAGAGATTTTCTGAAACTTGAGATGATCTAGAAGAGCTCAAATCTGCCTGAGGGGTTAGACGTGGTCTTTTTTCTGTATCTGGTCCTTTAGATCTCAAGGTGTGCCATCTGCTGGTCAAGTATAGTTTCTGTGTTTTCCTTGCTCATTTTGGAAATTCTGCTCTCTACAGTTACCTCAAAAGAAAAAAAATACTTTGTCTTCATCTTTGTCTTGGAGACCACCCAGGATCATGAAGTGCTGTAATTAAACTTTTTCTCATTTTTCATTTCTTTTCTCTCATTTATTAGCTTTACAGTGGACAGAACTGCAAAACTCTGGTATTTATTGCATAAACAGGAATCATGAGGAACCCCGGTGTGCCTAGAACCTGCTCAGCGTCAGTGAACATGTCTTCTGAGTTTATGTTATTATATCAAAACAGATTTACAAGCACAAATGACTCTTTTACTGTCATGAATAAAAACTGTTGCACAATAGTGTTATATGATTAAAAACTTCCATGTATCATTTATATCTTTGATTAATTATTAGTAAAACTAGACAAATATGGAAAACTTTCGGGAAAAGAAAAAAGTATGACGCCACATTTAAGTGTATAAAAGATTACACAGTTGTTGCAACTCTGACAGGTGGTGGTGGGGAAAATGTGGGCAGAGCTACAGATCTTTCAGATGGGGTCTGAGGAGGAAAATAAAATAAAATGTCAGTTTGTTTGCTGTTTGATTTTTTGATCTGTGCTGACTTGTTCATAGAGATTACCTGCTGCAATTTATTGTAGTCCGGAAGATTCTTCAAGCCTCCTGGCAGCAGGTTATGAGGAGTTATATCTGGCTGAGATGCTCTTGCCTGTTAGTGACAAGATATAAAAAAACTAATCTAATAAAAGCCACACAAAATACCATACAAAATAATGGTAAAAAACAACCATCATCTGGGACCATGAAATAATCTTATTGTGCAAAAATTACTCAGTAAATTGATTCAAACCTTTTCAACGGCTCTGGCAACAGGATATCTCGTCTGGTGGCCTGTACATGTAAAGGTCAAGCATTTCCATGAATACAAAGGTTTATAATAAAGATTACTCTTTGAGAAGTACTCTGGGGCACAGCCCGACTGATCAGCTTTACATGCTCTGCTACACAACCTGTTGTTTTTCTGAAAAACGTACAAACTGATACACTAGTGATGGATCCAAGCTTGAATGGCCTGGAACTTGATTATTATACAGTTCTTTTAATCATGGGTGTGAATTTCAACACAAAAAAGCCTATTACTAACCCAACTGGGTTGACTACTTTTTTCCTCACATTATGATGAAGTTTGCCATACTTTCATCACTAAAACGATTCTTCAAACAGGCTTTTACACACAGGCGGCAGCACAATTATACAGCTTAACATAGCTATGATTGTAGACTGATGAAACTAAATATGTATCTCAGTGCAGCATACAGGTATAAATAAACATTGCCTACTTTTCTTTTTGCTGTAGTGCATGATGAGATAGACGATGCCGCCCAGCAGGAGCAGGAAAAGGATGCTGCAGGGGATTCCAGCTGCAATGCCAGCAATAGCAGTTCCACTCAGCCCCTCACCTGGAATCATGAGGACAAAACCCAGTTAAAACTGTTTCACTACGTGGGCATCATCCTGACCTAGTTAAAGCACATATGATGCTTGACACATTTGTCATACCTGGACCAATTCTGTGGACCTTTGACGGCTGTCCTTTTCTCTGGAGAGCTTTGGGGATGATCCGAAACCTGTAGGTCAAGTCGGGATCAAGGACAAAGATGTCTGTACTCCTGGCAGACCCAGGTATCTGCTGAATAGTCACGTATGTATTTGAGCTGCCCCTAAAGTAAATGGAATTCCCATTTTTGCTCAGGAGATCAGGTCCTTTCATCTGGATGTCAAACCCTGCCGAAGAAATGTTTTTTTAATGAATCATATTGGCTTAATTCAGTAAGCAATATTATGCAAATCCAATGGAGTTCTGTTCTTAAAAACATTTTCCCAAACAGAGCTCTGCTCAGATGGAGGCAACAAGCATTACGCAATATTTATACCCTTATCTTCTGTCAAGAGTTATTGTTTACAGCATTTAGTCAGCTCACTACCCGTGGAGTTCTGCTTAGACATGTAAGTTTGAGACAAGAGAGCCGGGTCTGCTTTGTTTACAGATTTTTGCATGAAGATATGTCCACCAGAACAGCTTTCCAAAAGCTCAATTCAGCACTACCTGTAACAATAGATGTAGGTGGAACCTCCCAGGTCAGAGTGATGACGGTTCCATCTTTATTAGGGAACAAACTGGAATCTGAGATCGAAGGCCCTGGAAAGGAGAGGGATAGATGGTGAGGGGGAGTATACTAAGACTGTAGAGCTTTGTCTAAGGGGAAACATCACTCTTAGGAATTGCTTAACTCTCTTTCTGAGGGCCCATTGTGCTTTCGTTCTTGTAGTATTTCAAATTAGAAGCAGAAGGCAACAGAAGCTTTACTGTTTGACCACTTTAAGGTGACTGTTAGAAATATTCAATGCATTATGGGGCTGTGGTGTGTTTTGTTAAGAGATCCTGTCAACAGGTAACGAAATTTTGAGTTATCAATATGTTACAGTAAAGGTATTTAAGCTTTTATTTGCCTGTCTATATTACCTTCGCCTTTCATTATGAGTCAAAGATGTAATAGTAATGATGTTAAAAAATGTTCCTGAAACTACGTTCAGGCCTTATTTGTTACTTTAAAAGCTTGCACCAAGAATGTCTACTTATTCATGCTTTTTTAATCTTCAATGCAGAAAACAATTGAATTTATATACATGCATATTTAATAATGTATACCTAGACTTACTGTCTCTGATACTTGTTTTTTTTTACTAGTTCAAAACAACATCTTCTCACTATAAACTGTTTTTTTCTTTGCCAGCCATTTCTATTACACATCCAAAACATGGTTCCAGTGTAAAGACAGTTACCAGGGAAACGGACAGTGACACAGTGGTAGGGGTGTGGTGACATTGTGCTAAAGATGTTGTTGAGCGTGCAGTACCACAAATACTGTGTATACATAAACACCCCAGCTGACAAGGTGACTCCCAGTCCGCGGAACACAAATGTTCCAGCATGATATATATCTAAACACATCGGCAAAAACTACACAAGAATTTCCTAAAAGGAAAAAAAGTTCAACTTTGACCTGAAAATCGGGGCTATTTCACTTTACTTGGAATCGGAACAACAGGAAGTAGAAAGCAAGTTCAAGCCAACACTGGACTGCAGTGCAATCGAATGAATTACATTGCTATTGCTGTAATCAACTATCGTGGTTTACCTCGCAGTTTAATTTGCCTCATCTGGCTTCCCAGCGGGTTGCGACATGTGCAGGTGTAGTTTAGAATGAGGAAGTTGCTGATATTTCTATCCTGAATCTTCAGCTGTGTGGTGTCCCTGCTGATTTGGTAAATTGTCCCTCCGGTGACAATCTCACTGCCTCTGGACCATGCCACCAGAGCCTGGGGGGAGGCCTCGCTCAAACACAGGATACTGACCACTATTTTGCCATCAGAAGCTACAGTGGTTCTCACGGCTGGAAGAAACTCTAATGGACTACCTGGAGAACAAACAATTACGCTCTTGTTGAGAAATAATTTTAAGCATATTTTTGAATGACATGTTTTGATAAAACTTACCTTGGTTTGACCCCTCACGGAATAAAAAACTTACTTGTCGTAATGTTGCACTTGTTATTTTCGATCGGGTGCATTGCCATGCAGATGACAGTTTTTTTGTTAAAGCTGGCAGATGCAGTGACGGTCAGGCTGAGGTTTCCTGTCCCACTGATGGTGTTGCCTAGTTCTGGGATAGACAGCTCGGCTTGCGGGGTTCCCCCGATCCATAAACACTGAAACTGCAGCTGGTCGTCATTCACTGACTGCACAGAGCACATCGGGCTCCCCAGTGGCCTCTCTGTTCCAGATAGAAAAACAAAATCCAGTCTTTATTATGCCACCTCAGCACTCATGTACTATCTGTGCGTAACGTATTATTAACAAAATCTAGAGAGATCTTCTGGTGAAGTTTCAAGAGGTATGAAAAGAAAGTAAAAACTTCATTTTTTTTTTGCTGGTGTAACCAAATCATAACATTCAAACATTCATAGGCCAAAAGAAGCATGCCAATTTAATACTATTACTGAAGGGAAAACACACCATAAATGTTTACAGTCACAGCCTTTTCCCGTCTTTCATCAGTCAATTCATTGAGTAGAGTGCATATATAAACACCCCCTTGAGTAGTAATCACATTTGTTAGATTTAGGACTCCTTTGTGAGTATCAGGAAGAATTTCGCCTTTAAAGACCCATTTAGTAGTTGGCTTTGGGAATCCCTCCGCCTGGCAGGTGAGGCTCAGGGAACCTCCTGCTACATGGAAAAGCTTATCTGGTTGTACAACAATTGTGGGCTCATCTGGTCCATCTGCAACAGTCCACAAAGTACAAAGTGAGGAGTCAAAAAGATTAAAACAATGTAAGCAATAAACAGGCATTGAAAGATAAACGGGGGTGACTGGGGAGGGGATTATGATTCTTACAGAGCACAGTTACGTCCTTATGAGTTGTCACGCTGCTGAAGGGGTTTGTTAATAACACCGTGTACCTTCCAGAGTCATTGCGGTCTGGTCTGACAATAATAAGGTTCTTTTCTTTCACCAAATAGTGCAAGCTGGTCATCAATGCAGTACTGTTGAAGGACCAAACCTGTTGCTCAACCACCCCTTGCAGCATACTGTAGCTTAAGGTGAAATTTTCAATTCCCTCTTTGACTAAATCCGGGTGAGTGCTGAGAGCCACATTCTGGATTCTTTCTGCAAACAAAAATATGGCAAAACATTGAAAAAATAAATCTGAAGAAGATGGCTTACAACTACATGTGTATATATATATATGTATGGGATTCTTCTTGGATTCTGAATTTATTTACATATTGGGCATTCACTACACTTCAAATTGTAAAACATACTACTGTTAATCAAAGATAAAACAGCAGAGAGGGTTTGGCACTCTGCTGTTAAAATGTATATGAAATTGATTGGTAAATATTTGATGGTACATTCAGTTAGGAATAAGCATATGTTTGAGAATATTTCTATGCACATACATAGATATCTTGGTAACAACTTTGTATTTACATTTCATCTCTCCCCCTTAATATTTTGGATTTCTGGTGGTGTTGTGGGAAAATAACCTGCTTCAAGTTTAATTTTATGTTCATGGTAAATTTTAGAAATGTCATATTAACTCATGCTTTAACACATTTGTAGATTTCCAAGAAAAGTGTCAGAAGAACCAGAGCTGAAGTACTCACCAAATACCCTCAGAGTGAACGTAGTTGCTGATATTCCTAGTCCAGACTTTGTCAGTTCCACAGTATAGTTACCAGTAAAGTTAAGCGGTACATTTGTGAAGGTAAGTGAGCCATTTTTCTCAATGCTGAGGACATTCCTGCGATTGGTGGCTATGTCTGGAGGGAAACTGGAGTTTATAGTCCATGTGCCAACAGGTAAAGCGCCTAGAAACCAAATAACCGCTGGATCTGGAGCTCCAGTAAAGGACACAGCCAGAGTCACAGTATTTCCCGCTAGTGTGTTCACCAGAGTCGGACCAACAGGAGAAACCACTAATTCGCAGCTGGCACCTGTCGAGAGGGAAGAAGGTGATGAGCCCAAAGGTGTGAAATTGGTTTCTTCATTGGTTTTCTTAAAATCATTGCCCCACAGGAACAATATGTACGACTGTCGTATTTGAATGCTCTAACTGAAACGTGTAAGTAATTTCTAAACTCACCTTGAAATGCAAAACTGATTAATACGGCCAGTAAAAACGAGTTTAATTCTACCGGAGACTTCATTTCAGTAGTGCAGACGCACTACTTCAGGAGCTGGGTGTTTATACGAAAAAAAAAGTTATATTAGAGTTATATTTATAAATTTCGACAGGTCAAACTACAATAACAAGAAAGTCCTTGGCGTCTCGGACAATAACCCTTTTCTTCCTGTGGGCTCGAGGCAGCATCAGCGCGTGAGGAACTCACCTGTAACGTGCAGCAGTCAGGCCACGCCCCCTTCTCAGTAACTTGCTGCTTTATCTTCATTTAGCGGCATATAGATGTGCAAATACCAAGTTTGGCTGTAAATAGGTTTTGTTAATTTAACCCATGAGTTTTTCTCTTGACACTATAACTTATACTGAGGATAGATTGCTGCCTCACGAATGACCAATACATTTATTTATATCATTCTTCCTTCATTAAAAAGTCAAAAGTGAATAAGGATAGAACCTAAAATGAATTGAACCATCTCCATATTTCAGGATTATATATTATACATATTCTTACCCACTTTGATAAGAATAAAATGATTTGCACTTAATGTAAAAGTCTTGAACCAGGACAAACATTCTTAAAAATATATTTTAAATTAAAATAAATAAATAAACAGCTCCTTAAATATTTCAAAGAAACCCCCCCCCCCCCCCAAAAAAAAAAGCGAGGTATTTTTTATGAAAGTCTTGAAGAAACATTTTAAACTTTCCACCATTAAGAACAGGATTATGCATATTATTCAAACATGATAAACCGACACTTGAAACAAAAACGCACACAGGGTTGCTATGAAAAAGACTGGCTACTTTATTGTCACAATTAGAGATTTAGGCGCTTACGGTATAATTCAGATTTATGATCACGTCATCTTACACATACTGAGAGACACTGTCAAGTCAGTCCAAAAGAAAGTTACATGTACCTTAAATGTCCCAATTACCAATAGTCTTTATGCTAATCTTGAAGAACAAGATTCTCTATATGTTTTAGGTTCATATTTACATATAAAATTTACACTTCTGAACATGTGTGACAAAGGTAAAAAGCTTAAACCTAGCTGCGTCATACATGTGGACTTAGTGTACAGTTCATTCAAGTAGCATGAGCGACAGTTACTGGCTTTAATTTACCGAAAAAAGTCACTACACTAAGATTTTATGATACAGAATAACAATCCATTTAAATTAAAATGAACATGAAAGACAAGATGATGATTTTGGGGGTTGTCTGACTGCAGGACAGTGTGCCTCAGTACTCTTCTCCTCTTGGTACCTCCCTGCATGTCCTCAGGGGTTTAGGTCTCAAACACGGGGATCAGACTGATACATTAGGCTCGCCCTGTGGGGGTGCCAAGTTTATTCAGTCCCGTTATTCATTACAGGGTCCTGCAAAGAGACAAGGGCAGAAAGAAAGAACAGACAGAGACAGTTAATACCAACTTTAATTTGTTTTGATACTTCTATCATTCGATGTTTGAGTAATGGTAATCGCTGGCGTTAAGCACTTCTATCATTTAACACAAGAGGTAACAATTACATCCATTTATTGTAAACATAAAAGGTCACAGACAGATTAGCCTTTAATTATTGTGATACTTTTATCCCTAAAGCCAATTAATTATACAACCTGCATTTACAATGCTTAATGACATCCTTTTATTGAATGGCAATGACTCTCGATGACAGCAGAGCAAAGAAAAACTCTTTCTAAAGCGATCACACATTTAATTTGGCTGTAATATTTTATTCTGGTTAAATTATACAGATTAAATGCTAATACTCACCCCTCTGGTGGGCTGTGTGTTCCTAAAGCCTCTATACCTTCCCTGACTCTTTCAGTTTGCCCACCAGGTCCTCCACTGTCTCCACCTTCATCCCTGCCTGCCTCTGAGGAGGCTCGTCCACTCTCAACACCTCCAACCGTGACGTGAGGTCCACCCCTAAATCCGCAGGCTTCACATTAGCAATCTTCTTCTTCTTAGCTTTCTAAAACACAGACAGAGAGATTGTCATAAAGATTGTGTATCATGAGAGTTTTTAAAAAGCTAACAAACACACAAATTATTTAATGTTCATGGAAAACTGACTAAACTGTAATCTTTTTCTTAAATCTGATCAGACAAATCCATGCTACCTACCATGATATTAGGCAGAGTGGCGTATCTGGGGGTGTTGAGTCGTAGATCAGCAGTCAGAACTGCTGGTGTGTTGATCTTAATAGTTTCCAGCCCACCATCGATTTCTCTGACCACCTTAATCTTATCTCCTTCCAAAGACACCTCTGATGCAAAGGTACCCTGGAACAAGAAGACAGGATTATGGATACATACTCCATATCAGGATAATGGACAAGCAATCACTGAGCTCCACCTGCTGACATATTGGTGGAAATGCACCTTTAACCATGTTTACAACTCAAAATGAAAAAAAAAAAAAACTACTTAACAAAAGATGCTATTCAATGCTTAGAGTTACGTAACTGGCAGCATTTCGACCACTCAACTGGTAGATAACACAAAAAGGTATTTTATTTGTTTCATGAAAGCAGAAAGTTTCATCCAGCTACACGGTAGCTCTTACTGACTACGACCAGACTCTACCGGCCCTGATAAGACAGTGTGAGCGGGAGCAAATGCTGATCCGAACACTGCTGTTCAAACTAAGATAATTAAAGGACATTTATGAATGATACAGGTCAAATGTCAGCCACGTGTCCGGGGCAAGTCCTGTGGAAACAGTTTATGTTTTAACAAACCTGAGGCCAGTCCAGTAAAGCTGCTGTCATCTGGCCAGTCTGATTGCAGTCATCATCGATGGCCTATGAAAGCAAGTTAGAGAACAAAAAAGTAAGAATGTATGCAGTTGGGCTGAATAATTATCTGTAAAATAAGTTATCAAGTTAATCCAATTTGAATCGTTAACCTGTTTGCCAAGAATTATTAGCTGGGCATCCTCCTTCTTGGCTAAAGCAGCCATGATCTTGGAGACCTGCAGAGGTCCGAGGGTTTCATAGTCTTTCCCACTAACTTCCACATGAATACCACGATCGGCCCCCATGGCGAGCGCAGTACGGATGGTCTCCTGTAAGAGAAAGAAACATGGAAACATATGGCTCTTACACCTTCTGTAAGAGCTCCTGTTTGAAGGCAGACTGTGTTTATTCTAACCCCATCTCACGAACCTGTGACTGCTGTGGCCCACAGCTGACAGCCACAACCTCCTTAATGAGCTTCTTCTCCTTCATTTTGACCGCCTCCTCCACAGCAATCTCACAGAAGGGGTTCATTGAATGCTTTACGCCATCCGTCACTATGCCGCTGTTGTCTGGCTTCACACGAATCTTTCAAGAGAAAGCACAACAGGTCACTGCAGGGGTTCCACATTACGGTAACTACTGGTCCCAGCAACAAAACGGACATAAAGAACCCATTTTGCAACTCCCACTTGTCTAGTGATGACAGTCTCATAAGTGTCTTCATGATTATAGATTCCAGGAGTGGAAAATAAGCAGTAATGCTAATTGGTAGTGCTAATTTTGTCCAAAAAACATGAAGACTGTAAGTTGTCCATAAAAGAAACCAAAAAAAACGTTGGTGTTCTCTGATTCTGATTCCAAAATAATACCAATTTAAACAGGGTACATCATAACTTGTATTTTGATGATCTTATAGCCAGGGCCAGCAGTTTTATTACACTGTACAGATCCAGCTGTGGCCAGCTGAAACAGGAGTGCTCCTGTGTGCATTTCATCAAACAGCTGATAACCGGTTTAGGTTATGGTGCTGTGCACCTTCTAGCAAAGAGAGAAAAAGATACTGGAATGTTTCCATCACAATAGCTGTAAGACTTCACAATACATGATTTCCTTAAAGACTTCTTACGATGTGAAAGGTGTTAGGAGTAATGTTGATTGCCGATTGCCAAGTTGTTACACAACTGCAACACACAGGCCTAATAGCAGCTAGTGTAGGTCGTGAGAAGACAAGCATCGTTACGCTGTTAATTATATGTTTATACTACAAAACACGGCGCATCTTGTTAAGAGATCCTATGACTTTAGTTGCAGTCTTCACGCTTTTCTGTAGGACGTGTACTGACGGGCTAAAGTTAGCTAACAGCACACTGAGTCAAGTAGAGGTAGCAAATGGTGGGAAATGTTTAGGGTAAATATTCCAGTTGAAAGAAGCATTACCTTTACCGCGTAGTCAATGACACGCTTGACTCCAACGAGAACACGGCCAGACATCGTGACTGAAATTATTTACAATTTCGGACAGAACACGTCCGGTCACCGCAATGAACCTTCACCCAAAGAGAAGAGATCGGAATTATTTTAAGGTGATTCCAGGGGAGGACCAAGCGGACCACCTCCAATTTCAACCAATGAAAGGTAAGTTCTGGTCAGCACTCTGAGCGCTGATTGGATAATATAGGTGCAACTTTGTTGTTTAATTAAACGAATGAAGGATTTCTTCACGTTCTAAAAAACGGATAAATTTCCTTATATTTTAGTTACGTCTTGTGGGATACAATACCAAACTGCACAAAATTGAAAGTTAAGAATCGATTTTCTAAATTAATCAATCGACTTAAAAGGTCTACGACAAATAACCGAAGAATGACATGGTGTTCCTCATATCTGAGTCCTGAGTAAAACTGAACTCAATAAAGGTTCCGCTGTCTGTGGGTTAAAGTTCATTTTGGGATGATGCATGTTGGGATGAAATATATATATATGATATATGATATATGCTTTATTTAATCTATAGAATTACTTTTTTTCTCTAATTCTGAAAAAAAAGTTTTTAACATGAGAAATACATTTGTATATGCAACAGCAAATAAAACCCTTACTAATATTTGAATTATATTGAGAGGGTATAGATAATGGCACCAACAGAACTTTGACCAGTCAAGTCATAGACATTTGTGAATGCCTTGTGGACAAGGATATGTCCTTTTTTGGCTTTTGGTTATTTGAGTTTTTCTGAACTAGTTTTTAAATGGTTCACATTCTCCTTTCTGGGCCAATTGAAAGTAAAGTGCAATACTGACTGTCATAGGCTATGTCTTGGACTCTTTTCCATTTCTCTGTGGCTGTGGCTTGTTATTTTAAGTTCTTTTCAATATGCCAGCACAATGACCGCTTTTATTATAGGTAAAATAATTAACTGTTTGATAGATTGTTTTCCCCATCCCTGTTCATGACCACCTACAGTTTAAACTATTCTCTCTTGGCTTTCAGGGGAAAAACTCACCACGAGTAGTGTATGATTTTTAAATAAATCTTTGGTCTATTCCTTTCTAATATTAAAGTTTTATCTCTATAAAAAGTTACATTTAATGTGTCAGGTTTCTATCTATCTATCTATCTATCTATCTATCTATCTATCTATCTATCTATCTATCTATCTATCTATCTATCATATATATGTTATTATATCATATGCAATAAAATAACATGACGCACAATATTATACATTATTTTCTTATATGACATAGAGTTGTATAATTTTATCTTATTAATTTAAAAGTAATAATTTCAATGCAGCAGAGTCAGGATAGATTCTCATTAAGTCGCTTAACTAAAAAAAACATCAGCAACACGATATTGGAAAAACTCTGCTCAAGCCCGAGAGTAGAATATAGCTAAAAGGGAAGTGAAATAATAATAAAATAAATAAATTGAGACACTTAAATCAATTTATATCTGTAGTTGCAGTGAGCAATAATCCTAAAAGTGTTTGATTGTGAGACAATACGGACAATACGTGTGTCTACGCTTTGAATATGCAAATTCAATCTGGTTTTTAGAAAATGTTATTACCCTAAAGACATAATCTGCTCACGTTTCGCTTTTATTCGCACATTACATAAATTAATAAGGTAATCCTACTAGGTAAAGTGCTCTTGTGTGGCAATAAGGTGGTTAATGGAGAGATCAACGGTCGCTTTGAAGGCGCAGATCGTGATCGCCCGCGCGCAAATCCGCGAGCAGAGTCACCTCTGATCAGCCAGCGGCAGCAGCGGCCTCCATTTTAACTCCAGCACCGAGTCCTACCTCACGTGTCCTGGGCTGTCTCTCTCACATGACCCGAGTGTTTGTTCCCGTGATCAGCACTTCCATCTCCGTCTGTGACACCGAATATCACTTTTTATTTTCACCCTGATGGATATGCTCGAACAGAGTCTGGACACCGCAAGGTAACCGAGACTCGGCCAAAATGGCTAGCTGACACAAGCTAGCGACAAGATGCTATTTCGGAGGGCTGCCGTACGACGCTAACCAAAGGCCTGACCTTAAAACTGTTGTCAAAACGAGTTTATTGTGCAGGTTGTGTGGTAGTTTGCAACAATAGCGAAGGACATTCCAAGCCATATGGATTACCAGCTACGTGCAAAGCAGCTAATCTAACGTTGTGGAAACATGATCATAATTTGATAATAACACTTTGGCAGCTAAGATAGCTTCAGCTAGCTCTTAAAAACAAATAGTTGTGAGGAAAGCCGTAATCCGGGGATAGAAGGTTTTTTCTTGTTTTACCCGAAAATGTTGTAGGTCGAAAGTGTTTTAGTGCACTTTTAGCAGGAACTCTTTATTTGCTCTTTTACAGAGTTTTCAGTCATTTGTGTTGTGTTTCGTGCATTTGTTTTGCAGTCAAGAAAAACAAGAAGAAGAGGTTGTCCAGGCATCTGAAGGTAAGAATCATGTTTTCCTCAGCATGTGGAACTTGATTTGCAGTGAGGTGTGTAAAAGCTCCTGACAGGTGGGACAAAACACAAACCTGTGAGCTTTAGCATTTTGCTTTTGTTGTCCTGAACCTACACAAACCTGTTTGCTGTCTTTGTTAGTGGTCCCTTTCTTTCATTCTAACATAACAACTGGTTGTTGTTGTTTTTTCTGTCCTTTTTCCCCCCGGGAGACGGGACAGGAGAAGAGCAGACAGCTGTTACAATAGCCAGTGTTCAGCAGGCTGCAGCATTTGGTGACCATAACATACAATATCAGTTCCGCACAGAGGGCGGGCAGGTGAGTATCTAAAGGGAGGATGCAACAGCACTGATGTCTGCCTGATAAGTCCAGTTTAGGAGGGATTTTTAAGTTCTTCTGATGGCCTGGACATTGAGATTAAAAGATGACTTAATGCGTAAAGTTAGATGTGGCCACAACAGGTTAAAAAAAAAAAAACACTTGAAAAATGGCCAAAAGTTCCTCATTCCAATTTACATTTAGACCCAGACAGATCCTCACTATCTATTCAGAGGCGTGTTTTTAAGGGTTTGGTCTCCCTCGTAGCACAATCTGTCAGTGGCAGACGACACAATACATATGCGTGTTATTAAAATTGCTCTGCAACTTCAGCTGGTTTTAGATTAATTTTTGCAAAAAAGGAAAAAGTTTCCTCTCAACTACAGCTTTCAGTTAAAGCCTCTGATTTCCTCTGTAGCTATAGTGTATTTTTGCTGAATGTTTTGTGTCCCTCCCATTTACCCAGGTCAGAAGGGAAGCTGTCTCTAAATTCTCTAAAGGTATTAATGTGTGTTTTCCTTTTCACACAATTGACCAGAGACTATCAGCAAAAATTACTCCGCTCACTAATGTGAAATTCTCTCAAGTGAAGAACAAGGAGGTGGCTATGCCAGTGAATAAAACTGCAACACCACTGTGACATTCAAGTTGATTTTTTTTTCCATGTTTTGGGTGATTTGCACTGGATGGAATTAAGTCAGTGATCCATGTGGCTCATTTGGCGTAAACAGACTCAGTGTGAACGATCATGTGATTCTGGTCTGGTCTGCGATTGGCATGGCCGAAGTGTCACATGTCAGTCAGGAGGAGCGTCACATGATAGAGGGGATACAAATACTGATTCTTGGAACAAACGAGCTCATTTTCTTCACTTGTTTTTCAAATCAAATCAGGCACATTCTGAAGCCTAAGCATATTGTGTTGGGCGGTGAGAGCCGTGCACAGCTCAGGCTCGGAGTGTAGCTTCATACGTTAGGTTCGGCTGCACCGAAGACAAAAGTGACATGATAAACAAATCAGCGAGTCAGGTAAGGTTTTGATCAGGGAGCAATTCGAATGCCACAGACCGGAAAGAAAAACTGAAGGCTTTGAACAGCGCTCATCTCAGAGGCGTTTTCCTCCCCGTCTCTCATGCGCTTGTCTCCATTCCTGCCCAACAGGTGACGTATCGTGTTGTCCAGGTGACTGACCAGCACCTCGATGGAAGAGAGGATGCAGGAGGAGCAGTGAGTGTCGTTTCAACCGCTGCGTTTGCTGGGGCTCCTCAGGCTGTGGCTCAGGTAGCAACCTCTTTAAAGATTGAAAAGAACCCGTTGGTAAAATGGAGTGTTTTTTTAAAGACGACCTGTGTTGTATTTGAATGTCTTTCGTCTCTGAACCCAGCCTGACAAGCTCATGCCAAACAACTGTTAAAGATGTGTGAAAGAGTTCCCACTTTCCTTTGCATGTCAGGATTCAGATTGAGTTAGTGAAACCGAGGCACGGCCCCAAACCCATTTTTTAAATGAGATTTCTGTCTTTATTTACTCATTGAAATTTGTTTATGACTTTGTTCAATTTTAGTCAACCGCAGCAATGTGTTTTTTCCCTTTGACTAAGTAGACCATGAAAGGAGAGTTAACTTTCCCATAGCGGGAAATGAATTTGTATGGCAGGAAATGAACTCGTATGAAATGTGACATCTTTAACCAGCGCCCTCCTTTGACACACTGACCAAGCCCCATTCAGAGCTGGTGTAACTTACACAGCTGCAACGCTTTCAGAAATTAGGCGCTAGAGGTCTAGTTTACAGCTAAGGTGTACAGAGCCAATTTAGGGATGATCAACACTCTCTGAAGCTTTGATGTCACATAGGGAAAAGATAAATAACTTTCTCTTTATCAATTACAACAATTGTTGTGCTTTGATAGTAGTAAACCAAGTCAGCTGCTGTTAAACCTTGTTAAACCTCAGCACGAAGCCCTGCTGTTTTTTTTTTGCTTTTTTTTTTTTTAAGCCATCAGTGTACTTAAAGTACACTGATGGCTTTTCTGTCCTTGCCATTATCCCCGCTAAGAAGAAATGCTCTGCTTCTGTTCTTCCCGGGGGTGGGTGGGTGGGGGGCAGATGGGGGCACCTTTTATTGAGTATGACAGACAGTGAGGTGTGCATATACCTGCCGCGATTGCTCCACCGCTCCCTGCTCATGTCTCCCTCCTGTTTGTCTCTTATCTGTCACAGGCTGTGATCCAAAACCCATTCAGTAATGGAGGAAGCCCAGCAGGAGAGGCAGTGGGAGGGGAGACCCGCTTCGCTTACTTCCCAGCAACTGCAGTGAGCGACGGGACTGTGTCTGTGCAGGCAGCCGCAGACCCAACGCTCACACAGGCGGGGGGTGAGTCGCTTCTTACTCCTAATCTGGTCTGAAGTACATCACAGTGCCACGGGGCTAATTAAGCCATTATTTTGACAAACAGGAGTACATTAGAGGTGCTTCCAGTTTGGAATAATGTCCCTTGTTTAAATCTTCCCCATGGCTTTACCTCATGTTTGGAAAACCCTATACCGCAGATGTGAATCACACTGTCACTTTTACGGCACGCAGCGACGGAAATATTATCAGCTGTAACTATGAATAAAGAACTTCTCTCAACATTTTTTTTATGAATGATATTAGATATTGTTTATTAAAGCTGAGCTCAGAGGTGGGAAGAAAAAAGACTCGCAACATATTTTTTTCCCAGTATCGATCTCTGCCACAGAATGTGTGAAACACCCTGCCTTGGCTAAATTATGCCTTTTCCAACTTAAATATTACCACTGGCCAAAACAAAATTGGCTACATGGATCGTATTTATTTTCAGTTTATTTCATGTCACATGTCCTCCCACTTGTCCTCTTCTCACCCTTCCAGCCATATGTCATCCGGCTGTCCCAGCCGGCCTTGTGGTTTTATGTTAGCTTCTCGGGATTCGTAGCCTACGTACAACCGGCTTGCATTTTTTTCTGTATTGCGCAGCAAGCTTTAGATTTTGCAGCCCACTGCTATAGATGACCGGTTGAATAATGCATTTTCAGTATTTTTCTGATGGTTGAGGACCTGAACATTGCAGCTTTGAAAAGCGTAGTGCCTGACCAGCATTTATTGTTGGGATTTGGGATTCATGAGTCAGTATTTTAGCCTCTGCCTGGGCTTTGAGTTTTCACATTTATGTGTGCACGGGCTCCAGGTCTACCTTCAGCTTAAGTCTCACACCACCGGCAGCAGTCCGGCCAAATTTGGAGCCCCATAAAACTCTAAGCTGCTTTTTCCTTGTGGCTTTTAATTTGCCCATTTTAGTTTTTTTCCCGTGACCAAAATTCAAGTCACGAACTAAAAACCATCTAAGTTTTCCATTTTGTACTTAATAACAGAAATTATACAATTGTGAGTTTAATAAGTCTTGCCGAGCTCAGCCAGGCTTGAAAACCCAAAGCAGCTCTTGCTGTTGAGCAAAGAATTTAGTACGGTTGCAGAACAATTTACGGACCAATCAGAGGTCGTATGAGTTCCTTCCCTTGAGTCATTAAGTTTCTTTAATATATTACACCTTAGATATTGTGGTTGATTGGACCAGTTCAGCATTTCCAAATACCCTCACAGGCTCCAAGTCATCACTGTCACATGACACACTCCCACACAACTCATCCTCAAGGTTATATGGGTTGATATACCTCAGGATGGACCTGTGTAAAGTGCCTTAGTTAATGCTTTAGGGGTTGGAAGGTAGAGCGTTGAGCACCCGAAAGCTTTAAGATGTTTGTGTTGCTGAGCAGGAGGGCCAGACTTTTCCTGTCTGTTATATCTGACGGGAAAATATCTGGGACTCAGATTTGGGGTCTTATTTGATGCCGAGCAGAATCTTGAATGGAATTTCCCTCCTCTTTGGTGACCTCATGCACCCGTGGTTCCTACAGGTCAGTTTTATGTGATGATGACACCCCCTGATGTCATTCAGACCGGCACTCCCCGAAGCATCGCCCCGCGCACACAGCCCTACCCAGCGTGAGTATCTCCTCTCTGTTACAGCTCAGTCTCACATGCAGGCAGCTCTTAAACACAAACACAGCTGTTCTTCTAAAACATTAAATCTCCTCCATCTAAACACAGCTCAGAGTTTTATTTTTTTAAGCTTAGAGCTGAATTAGGGTTGAAATTAGAGATAGCATCCAGTGCTAAAAGCATCCTGTGTCAGTGCTTTAACTTTCTACGGCAGTTATAATCCCTCACAGTGATGCCGGCAAAGGCATGTCTCAGTGCCTGATGGAGACTTTTCCATATCAATCGTTTACGGTTTGGAGTAGACGTTGGTAAATTATCAGGACACGCTGAATAACGAAAGCATGCAAAAAGACAAATCCACATGCAAATGCAGGTGAATCCATCAGAGGTAGATGCAGTTTACATTGTAGGGCATCAGTAAGAGTTGAGATGGATCGCTGTGATGAGAAAGAGCAGCTAGTGTTCCAGAGATAGATGACGATTACTGTCTCCCGTGACAGAATATGGTAATGAGCTCATGAATGTAGAACAACTTCCACATTAACAAACGTCAGGATCAAATTCTGCTGTCTTTCTTTAACATTTACTTCAGTGTCTTTCTCACTTAGTTTTTTTCATTTAGCTTCTAATTTTACCACAAGACAGATTTCCTCTTTTTTTCTCTGGACAGTTTTTTTTAAAAACTTCTTTAAAATCTCAATTTGTAAATCTCTAAAGACACCAACGAGCATCATTATAACTACATCTGAGGAGATGTGGATCTGTCCCAGACGCTCCAGCTGTTAACGGCAGGCAGGGGCTGCAGCTACTGATATGAGCAGCAGGCTCATCTGAACAGAGCTTCTTCTGTTTTACTTACTTGTCGCCTTGCTAGTTCGGGCTTACTTTTAATACTGCATTGGAAAAAAAAAAAAAGGTTTCTCCCAAGCTAAGATATATTGGCATGAGAGCCCGAAAGGCCGAGAAAGCTCATTTTTCTATTGTTTGGTGGAAGCCAGGCCACAGTTATTTGCATGATTGGTCACTAAAACGGAGCACATGACTCATTATCAAATCGAGTTATCTCTGGCTTAAGTGAATATTCTTCCATTTTCCACCAGGCGTATCCTTAACCTTTAAACACGTGTTCCTAAGAGCACATTGAACTTTCACATAAGGTTGCTATTGATTTTTGCCAGTCGTTGCTGTTAGCCAAAGCATCAAGGTACCACTTAATTGATCTGGCCACAGTTAGGAGGCAAACTATTCCATTAACTGACTGTTGTGTTCTAACATCTGTTTGAGCGTCTTCAGAACTTCTGAAGGATTTAATTGCTTTGCTTTAAGCAGCTTTAAAAGAAGAGCAGCCATAAATTTGACAGCAGCTCTGCTGTGTTTGATGGAAATGACGCTGGCCCTTTCCACTCAGGAGCAGAGAAGTAACTTTGTTTCAGTTGATGTCTTCATTTGCATCTCAGAATCCCACTACTGTGTCTGTTTATTTCTTGAATCTGACATAAATGATTTTTTTTTTTTTCTATTTGTGCCAAGTGTCAGATATATGTTTAATGTAGTGTAATGCACAGTGACCCCCTCATTGTGAGCAAAGTGAGTGAAAACTTTCCACCCTATCTACCGTCCGCAGAGATGAAAACGAGCTGCTGCAGCATGAAGGTTTAAACTGGTGAGGACAGTTTCCACATTTCTCCCACACTCCTTTTTAAAGCTAAAAGCTTTAAATGAACTAATCAAATTGGATCACAAGAAGAAAAGTGGCACACAAACCTCTGCCCCCTCCCCCTCTCCTCCTCCCCCTCCCATCCCGTAAGTCCCTGGTGATTCTCCCACATCTAGACGTGCGAGACACAGATGTAGCGGCTGTTCAGAGCCGACCCTGATCCATTGTTGTAAGTCGTGCTTTTGGAAAATAAAATTCTCCATTAGGACTTAGAAATTAGGTCATTGTTCTCTATGTTGGGAAAAAAATCAGCTAGTTCCACACTTGAACTTAGTGTCAATTGTTGTGGTTGTGTATTTAGTCTAGATTTTAAGGTTAGTGTTAAATCTTTTTAGACAGTATTTAAGTTTCTTTTCTGTACTGAAGGACACATTTATATTTTGTGTGGATCCAGCTGTGTTATCTTTATAAATGAAGCTAGTGGAAACCATGTGCTGTTAATTTAGCAATTTCTCCAGTTAAAGGCGACTTATTGGCTGATGGTCAATAAGGTTTGTTTCTGGTAAATCATCCAATCATCCAAGCCCCAGTCCCTGGTGTCTCATGGTGTAATCCACTGTCTTTCTGACACTATAGCTTGGTTACAGTGATAGGAATGCCATAAAACAGGGCAGAATGGGTAAAAATGCCATTTTTCTTGCACAGATCATTATAAGAACACACAAGCTCAGTTCCTTCAAAGAACAAGAATAATGTGCTTCAGCAATGAGGTTGTACTCCCTTCATTTTTCAGAACTCTGTGGCAACAATAGCTCTCAGGAGCACTTAGAAGATTGTGAAAAAGGGGATATTCCTCTGGGCCTGCACATTTAGTTATTCAGACAGTCATCCTCATTTTAGAAGAGTGCTGTTGGACAGAATCCATTTTACTGCTGAAATCCCATTAAGATATATTGAGATAAAAGTGAGTGTCATTTAGCTTTGCAGAGCATCTCTAAAGAAACTATCAGCGGTCGAATTGCGCTAATAGAACGCAAATTTTCTCCCGTGCTGTAAGGAGATCTGTAGAAGAGCACATAAAGGATAACCTTTGTAAGTTTTTTGATAAAGACAGTAGGCAAAATGATCAAATAAGCAACAATTAGAATAATTAGAAAACATCTTGCTGTGTTTCTTCATGGAAACAGATTTTAAAATATTCTTTTTTTATATATATATATATAACAAATGGCTAAGTTACAGAATAGCCTGCTTGTGATTTTACACAAGTGTGTTATTAGTTTGTTGGCTTACTCGCGCCTTTAAGGGTCGTCGGATAAATCTCTGCCACGTCTCAGGGACTTAATTAACAGAATCCTGAGGGAAGATCCAGAGACAAGAGACGGTTGTGTCATTAGCCGTACGCCCAGTCTCTGAGAGACAGCTTCTGCTTTTCTGCTCCGTTGTAATTTTACAGCATATTGGAGCTGTGTCCTCCTGCCAGGCCTCACCTGAGAACAGGAGAGTGTTTGAGGTTGGGAGCCAGTGCGTCACAGCTGCAGCCACAGCTTACGTAGGCCGCGCATACTTAAGTTTCTCTGCCAAAGGCAAAACGCTACTTTTCAAGGCTTATTTTAGATAGCAATTACAATTGTCTCGAACTGGGAGATAACAGGGAAGAATGGTTTTTAATAGGCGCAGGATTAGGCGAATTTGAGGCATCGGATCTGTGCTTGATTGTATGGTGCTCAGAGATGGGCGATATTGTTGTGCATGCAAAGTATTTCATTTCCTATTTATCTTCAGGAAAATGGACGGACCCCGAACGCCAAGAGATGAAAGGAGGAGAGCACAACATAATGAAGGTGGGTAATTAGTGATGATTGTGGCTTTTGATTTAGTCAGACTGCACAACGTAATGCAGTGAGGTACCTAAATGAAGCACTGTTTTAAAAAAAAAAAGTCCCCTAGCTAGGTCAGAATGTTCTGTTAATGTAAAACCAGATGACAACGTTTGTGTTTCAACTGCCCACTAGAGGCTACTGTTGAGCTGCCAGATGAAGACATTGAAACCCGTCCTGCATGTCGGCTCTAAAAGGCATCTGGCCGTTTGTGTTTTAAAAAATGTTCTATGCCATTTCATCAGTTGAAAGGCGGCGAAGAGACAAGATCAACAACTGGATTGTTACACTTTCCAAGATCATCCCTGACTGCAGCATGGACAGCACCAAGACCGGAGCAGTAAGCTTTTTGTGCTCTCTCTCTCTCCGTTGTCCTGTCATTTTGCATTTCTACCTTGCAACTATATGGTTCCATCTGTGTCCCTGCAGAGCAAAGGCGGCATCCTATCTAAAGCATGCGACTACATCCGTGAGCTGAGGCAAAGCAACCAGCGGCTGCAGGATAGTCTGAAGGAAGTGGAGAGGATACAAGTGGACAATGAGTTGTGCAGGCAGCAGGTATTGATATCGCTCTGTGTTCCGGCCTGGAAATGTGGCATGGAGGGAAGTTTCAGAGATTTCAGCAGTGGCTAGAGAAAGTCTATGAATTCTAATTCAAAAGCTCCCTTTGAGGCGGTTGGGTGTAGCAGATAAATAAATCGGCACATAATAAGGCATCCATAGTGGGCCGCGTATGTGGCTGTGAAGATTGCCCCAGCCTTGAATAGATTGGTTAGCTGTACGCTGCATTGCAACATTCTGTGGTTAAGTCTCAGAAGTAAGAAATCCTCCCAGTTCCATATGCGTCTTCATTTCTCCAAAACGAACCCCCTGAGATTGCAGGCTGTATAGCTAATCATCGGAGTCTGACAAAGAGGATCAAAGACTTTGCACTCTTATAATGAGAGGTGTTACCTGAAATCACTGCTTTAAGAGACTGTGGGAATAATACACACAGGAGTTGTGTGAGAACTAAGTGCATGCTAATGCACTCAAAGTATTGTGAAATTTCAGAGCTCTGAGGCTGCCACATCTCCCTCTAGAATCCCAGGCCTGCAAGGCAATATATTCTTATTCTAACACTCAAAGTATAACATCCTTCACTCAGTCACTTGTAGGGGGGGGGGGGTCAACGAAGTCAGAGTTCACCCAGGGGAAATGAAGCCGAGATGACATACCGCAAAATTTGATAATCCAGTGTGTCGTGGCTTTGAAAGGGGGGTTGCTTGAATCTGATCTAATCCCAGGTATTGCACCGTCCTATACATTACACGGTCCAAGCACTCAGAGACAGAAGTTTGTACATCATGAGCTATATTTAGCTGCCACCGGGAGAAGAAGTTGACGCCGAGCCTTTTTTTCTGTCCTTTGTTGTGAAGATCGAGGAGCTGAAGAACGAGAATGCGCTGCTCCGAGCGCAGCTTCAGCAGCACGGCATCGAGATGATCGGAGAGACTCCACCGCAGTAAAAAAAAAAAAAAACAACGACGAGAGCAGGGAGGAGCACCGCCACTCAAACACGCAACTGATGTGGAGATTGGAAAAAGGACATGTGGGGAATCGCTTTGTTTTTAGTGATTGCCTCCTTCCCTGGGTTCCCAGGTTGTGAACCCTTCACCAGCCATTTGTGGCTGCACTTGACTGTTCCGGTCCTGTCGAGATAACCACCTGTCGCAGTAGAAATGTGCTTCAAGAAAAGATTTCCACTCACCTCATCAGAGTGCTTTGCTAGCACTAGCTAAGAAACAGAACCTCTGCTGAACTTCTCCTGTGTTTTGTATTTATGTAGCCTCACTCATGGACTATGATGTTTGTTCCACGTCGTTTTTTTTTGTTTCCCCCCCGTGTATTAATTTTGTCATAGTTCTTGCTTTTACTCTGTTTTTTTTGTTTTTGATTTCTGTATTAATATGTTGTTTTTATCTCATTTAATTTATTAGTCCGCTTGCTGTCAGAAGCCCTGATGGAGACCAGTTACGTTGAAACTCCTGCATCCCTGAGAAGCAAACTGAATTTAAAGAGAGGAAATATCAAAGTATGCAAAACATGGTTCCAGAAACAGAAATAATGTGACACACATAGCTCACCGAAACCCAAAGACAAACAAGACGCTGTGCAAGCCGAAGCCTCTGAGCGGATTTATGTAAATATGACTTCTCATGTTTTAATACAGATGTTGAAGAATGTTAGAGCAGATTATCTCTGGGAGTCAGCAATCAATAAGTCATTAACTCCACGCTGGCCCGGCGTCACAATGATGACCATGAAGTGTGCAATCTTGAAGCTTGATATGGAAAAACAGACAGTGGTATACTTGAATTGTTGGGCATTTGCTAGATGGAAGAAACACCTGTTTAAAAAGGCCATTCACATGTAAACCTCAGATATTTCTGATGTTTAATTACAAAGTCAAACATGAAAGTGTGAAACCTGCAACTTTCCAGCTCAGCACTTTGGATCATCAGCTGAAGAGGAACACAGATCCCAACTTTTGCCAAGCTATGTTCAGGCACTGTGGGTTTATTATTTTCATCTTTTGTTCTTGTGTGATTTAGAGGTGTCTGAATATGTGTAAGAATAATCCCCACATGCTTCAGTTCTGGCTGCTCTATTTTTGGTGTTGCAACTCTTCAAATGGAGCTCAACGCACAGGAGGAGGGGTGGCACCCTGGAGAGCAGCATTCAAAGACTCCTCACTATGGAAAAGGAGTGCACTGAAATACTGTGTTTCTCTTTTAGCATAGCACAACTGATTTTCCAAGAAAAAGATTGAATATTTGGAAAGGGGGGAACTTCTAAATGATCTCACATGTTTCTCCACCCACTCAGGCAAACAATAAGTAAACCATAATTGGTTGCACAAACAGAAAAAAGGCCAATATTAATATTGTTGATGATTTTTGTGAATGAAAATACACGATGCGGTTTTGTTCTGCTTCGGGCAACGTGAGCGAAAGCAGAAGAAAGATATCAAGCTTTGGAGCCACTCATTAGAGCGTGATTGCTTCTAACTGTCTCAACAGCTCAGGATCCAGAAAACCAACATTCAGACCACTGGCTAATTCAGGCAGACTATTATTACATTTTAATATCTGAGACTCTGTAAGTTAACAGCTTGTGCTTTGAAAGTGCTGTTCTTCTACAACTGCTAGATTTAAACCTGATAGGAATAGTGCGAGTGATCTGATCTCTCAAACTAGGCTCACGGCCAAAGTTGAAAGATAAACGTGCAGTAGAATTAGTTTTTTGAGTTTTTTTTTTGTTTTGTACACCACAGAGGAGAGCAGAGAACATAAAGACATGATTAATCCATTGGAAGGTGGGATTTTTCACAAAGTGTTTTGTGGCAACTTACTTTTTTCCCCCCCTTGCTTTTCTTCTTTGAAATGGCAAAAGAATGAAAAAAGCTTTCTCTGTGTAGCAGCCTCACTGTTCTCAGGTTAGAGACATCTTTTCTAAGTCCAATGGTGGAAAATAAAATTTCACTATAGCTAATAATCTCTATGGACTGTAGCTTCATTGTTCAGATCTCAGACAAGCAAATCAAACATGCTTCATTTCTTCCGAGTCATTTTGTAGAGCTGCAAAGAGTATTTTAGAAAAATTTAAGGTCTAAATTTGTAAATATCCATTTTTGTTGACCTGTGACTTTTTATTTACAAATCACTCACTTAGCTTAATGCAATCTATGCCTTCTAGAGATCTAAACATCCCCGATAAAATTGGCAATAATTTAGGATTTGGGTTTTTTAAATGTATTTATTTTTATTTGAGTGACAGTACTGCCACCAAGCAAAACAATAGTTGAAATTAAGATTTCTATAGAGTTAAGTCCTGATCCTTACTTGACGCCATTTGTCTTAATGAAGCCCCATCTATCAATCAGAGACTCATTAAGAAAATTAGATTTCAGGGTCTTAAAGCAGAATCCAGGTTCTTAAAGGACAATGATCTCTTATAGATGAACTGTCTGTGACATTAATTATGGCACTGAGTGATTCTATAGGGGATTTCCCTTACAGATGGCCCTGTGGTAAAACAATAAATCTAAATGCCATCAGAGGGGGACTCGTACCCTTAACATCATTGTAAATCTCAGAATGTCCACCCTCCACTAAGCTCATCAGCACATGCTCTGACAGGCCTTGTGGACGGTGGGTGTCTGCTCAGGTTGTCCTGGTGCATCGTTCCAACACACTCGATGGGCCTGAGGCATTGTTTATCTCACATTTGATTCTCCTGTTGTGACTTCTTCAAATGTCAGCAAAGTAAAAATTGAAGCCTCAGATATTGACATTTGTGGATATATATTTGGCCGAGAGATTCAGAAAATGCATCTCAGGCATTTTCTTTCATGGAAGTAGAATGAAAGGCATTGGCTTGTTTCTATGGCTGATGTGGATTTGAAAGGAATTACTCGCGATCTTGTTATTTTTGGCTGATAGGCACACAGGTAATTGGAAAAGCAGTTAGTAGTTTGGACTCACAGAGGGCAGCTTGGCTGAGAAAGATCATTGGTGGATAAAATGTGACTTTAAGCCTTTAGTGATATTGACTTTTACAGCAGACCCGTGACATGATAGCATCATTCTGCTGCTCAGCAAAGGTCTGGGCGTCTTTCAACTTTACACTTTGATGCTGTTTGAGGCCAAACGGTCCAGCTGCTTATAACCTAAAGATGAAATAAGTAACAGCCTTATTCAGCCTGACTAGGATAAATGATGCCCTGTTTTTTTTGCGCCCTCTGGTTTTGAAGTCTTGTCTTCTGCTTTTGAACATACAGTACGCAGCTAGCCAGGCAGGCGCCTGTGTGTCCCTGTGTTTGTTTGATGTGGATGATCTCTGATCCCCAGTGATTGGGACATACATGTTCTCTGTCTATCCGGCGCTCTGCCTTTTCACCCCTCTCTGAAGAGAGCCACGCAGACTTGAAATGAGCTCAGTTTGGGAGTAAAATTAAATAGCACACAGATACGCGAGGTTATTTCTCAAATAGAATATGAGGCTAGAGCCGGGGAATTTGACTTTCACCTCTCAGTGCAGATAATTCACTTACAATTAATAGATGTAATAATTGGAATAGGAAAGCTTCTCCCCTTTGAGCAATAAATTGTTATTGCCTAAATTCTGTGTAATGGATTTGAAACAGTGGTCAAAGCTAAGAAATTGCTTAGAGCACGGAGTGAAGTCCGTGCTGTAGAATCTGTTGTGCACATAATACTTTTTTACTCAGGAAAAATCTACCTAAGTGCACAGTTGACTGATTTCCATTGAACCCATGCTGGCCGGTACATTCTGCTGCAAAGCCACAGTTTCATGTCCTGCAGGCTTGTCTTACCTTTGTGGGGGTTTTTTTGAGCTACAGGAGAAAAACTGTTGGGGATGCGCATTGCCCCCTACCTCAGCCTGCCTCACGTTGCCTCTCTAGTAAAGGTTGTTGTGTGTTTGAAAATGGCTGACAGAAAAAGTCCCATATCGTATAAAATCCAAAGCTCCCCATTATCTTGCATATCTCAGTGACTTTCATCCTACATGGGCTAACAGTAATAGCAGCAGAGCACCTGCATAACTCAAATAGATGCTCCAGCACAAAGATATGTATTTTGCTGCATTTAAAGATGGAAGACCGGGATGAGCTGAGATTTCTTTTTATCTTTTAATATTTTTTGAGCCACCAGAGGCCTATATTTGACAGCCTTGATTGAAGTGACAGATCAAACTGCTTGAATGTTATGAGATGATTTTCAATTTAAGCAAAGGGACATACATTTCAGAACGCACTTATGAATAATGCTTATTGTAATAACACGGGTGAGACAAATGTTACTGTCTAATATCAGAACTTGTGATCATCCCAGTCGATGTGACTGTCAGATGACTCAGTTAAGATCAGATCCCATAAAATAAATCATTCTATTTTAAATCAGCTGCTGTGACACCTGGAGTAAAGGATCCCGGAAAAAAAAGCAAAATGAACAGCCAAACGAATCCTCGAGTAGCAGGAAATTCCTGAATGTCGCATCTAATTTAGATGAGCACAAAATATGTTCTAAATGAGTGCTGCCAGGGCGGTATGGTGGTTAGCACTGTAGCCTCACAGAAAGAGGGTTTCCATCTTCTTCTCATGTCAGTGGGGGTTCTCTGGCAACACTTTGTTTTTGTCCCAGAGTCCAAAAACATACTTCAAATTGGAATGAATATGAGTGTTGGTTGTTGTTTGTCTTTGTGCAGTCCTGTAATGGACTGGTGACCTGTCCAGGGTGTAGCCTGCCTGTCGCCCAATGACAGATGGAGTAGGCTCCAGCCCCCCTGCAAGCCTACAATGAATAAGCAGTACAGACTATGCCTGGATGAATGGATCATTACTATAATAAAGGGATTAACATAGAGAATAGAGTCCCCGCATTTAATTTTCAGAGCCATAATTTTGGCGTATTTGTCAATTATTTTCAAGCACCAGCCTGGATTTATTAAACTTTGTTCATTACATACAGTGCTAGTCAAGTGTGAGGACACACTTTTCCATTCATTTCTGTGCAAAGTTTTGACTCATACTGTGGATGCATTTAGAATCTCTAAGAAAATGAGTCGCAGAGGAACAGCCAATTTAACCAGAATAATGCTACCAACGCTGAAGCAGTAAAATGTTGTGTTTAAGTGATTATGGCAAAGAAAAAGGCAGCAGACAAGAGTAATAGAAATGTACAAGTAGAGCCTTTCATTTTTCCAGATAATCATAGGTACACTTTCACAGTGACGCGACAAAAGGCACATTAGACTCGGCCTGTGGCGGCATTAAATCAAATGAAAAGAACGAACAAAAATCTGAAATAATGCCATGGTGGAGTGTTCATACGGCTGCAAGATACTGAGAAGCTCTTCAGTACTTCAAATATCCAGGAGGCTACAATTATGATGCACTTTTCCCTGGTGGATTAAAACTAAATGGTGAATATGTTCTGTCTGACATCTAAAAACAGCTACACAGTGATATAAGCAATACAAGCTACATGTGTCTGTCTTATTTAAAGATACTGCATTTTTCACCCTGCCAGTGTTCTACTTCATCATATAATTAATATCCCTTAGTTTTTCTATGTTTTGGGGGGGAACCCAGTTAGTATTTCATTGGCATCAAGTATTTAATTGGTTTCAGCCTAATCGGAAATGAAAGGAAAGACAAAAGTAAAGAAAAACAAGGTTTTGTTATTGGAAATGTGCAGATTGAAGCTTTCAAGCAATGCATTAATGTCCATGCCCTCAATCGTATTCAAGTTTAAATAAGGTATTTGTTGGCTTTTGTTATTCTTAATTAACTCAATCAACTTGTAAAAAAAATAGTGTTCGAGTTGACTTCACAGTTGTGTTTTATCTCATTCATGCATGTATTAAGAACTCAGCAATATTTGGTAAACTCCAGTAAAATTTACTGTAAAATGCCCCTCATTTTGCTCAGACTGGGGAATTCCCAGCAGTCATCAGCAAATCTTCAGCCATGAATGCCAGACTGCCCCAGTGGACTGAAAGGGGCACTGCGCTTGCCCAACGCCTTCGACAGTTTGCAGAAGCACATGACAACAAACGTTTTAGTCTGACTATTTACGGATTCACATGTTTGTCGTGCGCTGACGTTTTGTCCGTGGCCCACTTTTTGAGGCGAGACATCGACTCTTTGGTCTGTTTGAAAGGCAAATTTATGGTGTGTGCTGTCTCGAAGCTCCATTTAAAGCTGGCAGGGAGACATGGAAGGGGGAAGTGGATAGGGACATGAACAGAGGACAGTGATGAAACAGGGACAGACGGGGCCAATGCCCTCAAACAGCGGAGAAAAAGGTAGACTGGCGCCTGCTGAGGTGAATCTGTCTGCCGTGCTGGTGCCGGACTTTGTTTGGCCAGAAGATTCCCAGCGATAGCCTCAGCGATTAAGATCTCTGAACAAAACATGTATGCTCAGAAAACTCAGATCTACGTGTTATTTTCTAAAACTTTTAAATGTTCAATGCTGTCCAGCCTCGCTGATCTCTCACAGTCAGGACAACAACAATCAGTTAAACCTTGTCTTATTCAGATCCCATCCACTTAGTCAGGCTTTGTGAGTCATGGCAAACAAAATAAACTCTATGAGTGGACATCCAGTGGACAGAGCAGGCAGCAGCCCCTTTTTTCTTTCCCACTGAAGGAAGCAAACAAGAAAAAATAAAGACAACATGATCATTCTCCCTGCATGTTAACAAAATTGTGGATAGATTCTGATGTGGAGCTATTCATGACTTTATTTGTTGACACTGGCATTGTGGTCACCCAAAGTAAGCAGACAGGCCAGCGGGGTTATCGGTGACAGCGACAGACTGACGCAGAGGTCCTGAGACATGTTGTTCTCTAATTGAGCCAGTACGGGCAATTTGGAATCCTTTGAAGGTATAATGAGAGTTAAAATGACCTCTGATTCACTATTTATGAGTTTGTACCTTCATTTTCCCATTTTGTTATTTCATTTCCCGCAGTATTGATTTTTTTTTTTATTCAGTCACAGTCTGCGGAGGAGATTTCTACAGTGACAGGTTGATTAATCCAAAGATGTTTATCTACGACCTAAATAAGAGGGAAAAGGACTCGACTGAATTCAGAGTCACAGCTTTCCTATTAAACTGTTAACAATCTGATTTATTATCACTATGCCAGTCTCTTTAGATAAACTGGTAAAATATCAGTCTGCTCAAAATACGTATAACACTACAGGGTGTGCAGCAACATTCAAGCGACTTTTTCTTATTAAAAAAAGATCAGAGGTTATTTTGTTTTTTGTTTTTTTCATTTTCACGGAAACACAGACAATATCAAGATAAGTACACCCTGTACAGTTCCAGAAGTTATACACTTCTTATCAGCTGAGGCACAATGAAACACATTACATTTCTCTATTCATCTTTAACAAAAGCATATTGAAACACCTTGATTCAAAGACAGAGGTATTTAAATCCTGGCTAGTCAACTGCTCTCGGAGGGATTTAATTTGGTTCAACCGCAGGTTGCTATGTATTATGCAAAAACTGAACGTGTTGAAAATGAGGGGCTAATTATTCCATTTGAGAGGTTGTAATTACATCCTTTAGACTGTGCAATGGATATTTCAAAGTCTCTCCTTCAGTGTTCTGAAGGATTTCCCGGAAGGAAACAAGTGGAGCTCAGTCAGCTGTGCACTGGACTGACCTGGGCTGCATTGGCCTTTGCCGGAGAATGTATTGCTAGATTTGCTCTACAAAAGCCGCCTTTAAAAAATACAGATTGCGCTCATAAATTGTAGAATTCGTCGGCCTGGTCATGTGTGGAATTATGTGATCTCTCAGTGGAAGGTAGTTACATTTGAAAGAGAAATTTCCCCCAGTGTTGCAGAACAACAGTGTGATGAGAAGGAATGAGGGGGTCAAAACTTCCCCAGTGGAGTTAGGTAACGGCTGCCAGGAATGGGCTGGGCCTCTGGCAGCGATGAGGCAACACTGGTCCCATGTGTGTATAAATACCTCTGAACTGGCCACACTCCCTCATCAGGCTGTGTAAAAAAGGGTTGGATCTGGAGAATATCCCTGGCCGAGAGAACCGCTGTCCATCACTGACATCGCTGAGGAATAATTTGGAGACATTGCAGTGTACATCGGTGCCCTGACACCCATGAGAGAGAAGACCTTTCCAGGCTAATCTTCAGCAGATTTAAAACCAACGAACCCCACAAAAAAAATGAAGGCATTCAGCATTGCAGTTGCAGTGACACTCGTGCTCGCCTTTATTTGCATTCTGGAGAGCTCTGCCGTCCCATTAACTGGGGTAGGAATATGACTTTAGCTCACCTCATTTCCTTATTAGCTTTAAATGTTTTGTCGGGAACGGAAGATGTGGCTTCTAAATGTGCATAATTCATTAACAGGTCCAAGAGCTGGAGGAGGCAGGGAGCAATGACACTCCAGTTGCGGCGCATCAAGAGATGTCAATGGAATCGTGGATGGTATGTTCAATTGACTTAACAAATTAAGCCAATTATCACGGGCAAATTAAAATTTAAGTGGGTTTGTTTTCCCCACGGAGCACCCCGATGCTTTTTTCTCCACACTGAGAAAAAAGGATGAAATGCTGGAGACTGCAGCGCGCTGATGTCTCTTGTTTTTTTTCGCACAGATGCCGAGCCCCATCAGGCAGAAGCGGCAGAGCCACCTCTCCCTGTGCAGCCTGTGCTGCAACTGCTGCAAGAGCTACAAGGGCTGCGGCTTCTGCTGCAGGTTCTGACGATTCCCCGCAACCACCGCGCTATTTTCATTTATTATGTTTTTTGTTTTTTCCTCTCTTCTCAAAGAAATGACCTTTTGCGTACCTCCTCCTTTGGAGCATTTACTGTTCCTGTTTTTTTAGTTTTTTTTTAGAGAAATGATTCACAGAGTTGCACAAACAAATGAGGAGTAAAAATCCTTTGTATTTATTTTATGTAAGTCAAGTTTTTCACCCTTTTTTTATAAGCTGAATGAACTTTTCCTATTTAAAAATGAGCCATCTGTGGCTGTTTTTCCTTGACAATGTATGATGATGATGATGATGCTTAATAATAAAAAAAATCAACATTTGATGTATCAACAAAAATGTTTTTGTGTCATTAATGAATGCACAGATGTTCATTGAATGGAAACAAGCTAAGTACCATCATACTCTGGCTTTGTGACCAATTTTAAAACAATTTGTTGTCTTAATGACTCATCAGTGTTATTTCCTATAAATCAAGTTTGATTATGTTTGCAAATCTCAAAAATGTTGCTTTACATTAATCTGAACACCACATGCTCAGATTCATAAGTTCAGGTGCTCCGCTTCAAAAATCAATATAGTTTAAAATACTGTGCAGAATGTACAATTTCCATGTGTGTTTAACATATTTTTTTCAACTTTCCTCCAGAAGTAATGACTAAAAGTAAAGTTGATGATGTAATAGCATTTATCGTCAAAAGCGACTTTCACAATGTTCTGAAGCTCTATTAAAAGACATGTTTAAAACAGGAATATTTTCCAAGTCAGACTATGAATACTTATTTCATATTTCTGGCTTTCCAACATGTCGTTATGCAAGCTGAAGTTCATGCACACAGGAAGTGTCAGCGTAAAATCCATAACTTCTGCAATTGTCCACACAGAATATATATTGTGATGACCACAACTTGACAACCAAAAACATTGGCCTCAATTTTAAGTTTTCAGCTATCAGTGCTACATGTGGAGATGTGTGAATTTTTTTATTTTTTCTAATATGAGTTGGAGTCGATAAAAATTTGACAGGACAAACTCAGTTTGCTGATTCTATGACTGCAGCCTCTTATTATAAGAAATTATTCAAGAAATGTATTAATCTTAGTGTATAACCAATATATAACCAAACTACCACCAGATCTTAACAAGATATGATGCGAGACAGGAAAAAACTATTGAAAACCTCCCACATTATTTTCAACAAAACTAACACATGAATGACACAGATATAAGTTATCATCTGCTCCTTTTTAGGACTTTTTTTTCAGCAAAAACAACATGAGAATCCAATCAACACACCAGTTCCAAATACAGCACAAAACAGGCATGAGGATAATTTTCTCTCACTTTAGTGTTTATTTAAATTACTCTTGTACTCTTACAAAACTAAATCAAACAGGTTATTCTTAAAAAAAAACATGCAAATAATTGCACTGCATTATCCAGAGCTCATAAAAAAAATCTCAGAATAGATGACCACAAGAAGGGTCAGCATAGAATAGTCAGTTAATACTACTATATCTGAAATGCTTTTCCTGCTACAGCCTGCACAGACAGGCATGAGCATGCACACATCCTACACACGGATAAACTAACAGACACATGTGATACTGACAGAATTTGCTGCCAGTCATCAGTCATTTTTCGACAATGGTTTCTTATTGCCTAATGATGGGTGGTCATGGTATAAGTTACCATGTTTCCTCCATATTGTCAATACAGCTGCTATTAACACTCAAAATTAGAGATCCCAAATGACGCCCTTTAAGATTTGTTTCAAAACAACAGCAGTGATTTCTGACTTAGGCTGCCAGTTATTCTATATGGAGGTCGCAGGAATAGTTATTACTGGGGATGAGCTGGGGATTTTTTCCTAAAAAACATGAACTTGGTCAAGAACTATTTTGATCAACACGCTTAAAAGCTTCCATACATATATTGTTAGCTTATAAAAACTGATACTGTGTAGGCTGCTGCACACTTGAAGTATTTCAATGCTGTAAACAGTTCTTATTCAATATCATATAAACCAACCTTAAGTTATTCTTGGAACCAGGTGGCTGCCGAAGTTTGGCCACTTAACATAATGGAATCCCTCTATTTACTAAAGCAGTGGAGAATTGAATCAACCCTGGAAGTGTCCAATCTAAGTCAGAGTTCATCCAACAAACTCTATTGACCTAATATTGCCCCGAAGCAGCCTTTAATTTTTCCAAATAAGTCAAACTCAAAGGAGAAAAGAGTCATTGAATGAAAATCCACATTGCTGATGGCAAATAGAACTTCAATAAGAATTTCTAATGACTCAACAAGAGTGAACGCCAAAGGCATAACAAGCACAATGATCCCTACCTTGTCTCATCTTTGTTTAGCATTTTACCTGAGGCAAGTTTGTTTATTGGATCTCATTCAAATTAAACTTATCTCACTGAGTGTTATAATGTGTGTGTGTGGAATCATATGCGATGGAGAAAGAACTGCACACTCTTGGACACACAACGGGGTTGAGAGTCTGAGGTGGTTTAATGAAAGTATGACCAGGATTACAGCTGGAAGCAAACAGGGAGAGGGAAGACCCAACCAAAACATAGCTGGCGATACCATGTGAGGGTGAAAAAAGTTCACGTCCTGTTTACCGTGGATTTTTTGGAGGAGTGAAACGCAGATATGACAGCAAGTGGTCAGTCACAGTGGTCATCATGTGTAAAGTGAGACTCACAGAGGCCATCTGGTGGAGGGGTGCTTTGTGACGGGTGCAGCCAGATTGTGGCAGACAGATTTTCTACGATTTAAAGAAAGACAAAATAAATTTGAAGAGTAGACTTGGTGCCAATTTTAATCGAGTACTGTCTGGCTATCTTACTTTACTTTTAAAAAGCTGGATGTTTTAGGATGTTGATCAAACCAATATTCCTACATCCATTTTCTAAGTTTGGTTTTGGTTTAATATAATATATTTTTTCTAGTTTCATGAAAAACTACGCCGTGTTTCACTTATGCCATGATCTTCCACCCCATACATCTTACCGACAAGCTAAGTACAGCACCTAACAGATACTTCTCCTTAAGGGCAACAAATGTTCCATTAAAATCTCATGAGAGTGTCCTTTACACTCAAACTGGCAACCTCTTTGGATTTGTACCCAATATATTTTCGTGAATCGGTGGTTTATGAGATTGGTTTATCAAAAAATTTGGTTTAGGGAATGATTCAGTCATAAAGGCTGCAGCCAACTAAATCATGAGTGTGTTCAAATAAAAATTCTTCATCACAAATATTTTTTATTTTTTCATTGTAGTGAAAGTCTGGCTGGGTCAATAAGTAACTTTCCTTCTGTTTCCTTTAGTGTTAAATAGGAAATTCCACTGTGGAGTGACAAATGAAAATGACTACATTTCTATGTGGTCTTTCTTAAACCAAATGAAAAAAGTGCTGCAGGGCAGCTATTTTAAGAAACAGAGTTCCAAACACGTGCCACAAAAACGACAGAAACAGAACCGAAGAGAGATTAAACAAAAAAAGGAGACAATGATCTGGCAAGTAACAAGGAGAACCTGGCGGTACGTAAACAGAGGGAGATAATGACTAACACAAAAAAGGTGGGTGACAATCAACAAGTGAGACCTGGAGTGAAACGAGGACATGAAACGAAATCAAGAATGTGAAAGGAGAGCAAGCCTAAAAAAAAGTTACGTTTACCAAGTGGCAAAAGAAAAAAGAACAATGTCAAAATATAAGATGATAAAGGCTGACTCATTCATAGGGCACTAACTTAAACCAAATTAATTAATGTAATCCTAAACCAACTTTACAGAAACAGAAACAAAAAAAACTCCACAAAATTACACTAACAAAGAAAACAAAAAAATTTAAAAAATAACAATAAAGACAAAGTAAAATGTCATATTTACAATGGTTTGCAAGTCATTGGAAAGACTGGAATATCTTCATTCTTTCAGTGGTCCTTGAGATGCTTTTAGATCCTGATTAGGCTCCGGTTTTGCTTAATGAAATTCACTGAACATAATCAAGATGGCTCTCATCTGTCTAAATAAGGGCACATGGTTAATGGTGTGTGTCAGAGTGAAAACCAAGCCATGACTTTGAGAAAATTGATTGCAGACATCTGAGACAGGATTGTGTCAAGAAACAGATCAGAGGAAGGATAAAAGAACATTTCTTAAGTAGCCCTCATTGCTGTATAGTCAAAAGATGACAGCCGTTGGTGTCGTGCATCACCAATCAAGCCTTTGTGGTATGAAACTCGGGAAGAGGAGACGTTTCCTATTAGCAGGCGTGCAACACTTTTGCTGAAGGCATTAGAAGAATCCTCGCAGCAGAAGGGCTTACAATCGAACACTGGTGCGAAGGTTTTGATAGCATCAGTGAAATGAGAAACAGAAAGAAAGAAAAAATTGGGGTGGGAACTGTGGGAGTCTTGGAACGTCCAGGCTTGACAGTAAACCTCCCCATCCAAACGCTTGTGCCATGAGAATGGCAGTTGCTTAGAAGAAATGCCAGCTCGCTATACTCGGACTGTCAGTAACTCCATTTCTTTTTTCTAATGAAGCAATAATCTAAGGCTCTAACTGATTCTGGAAGTATTTGTAGTTTAATTGCAAAATCATCTTGTTCTCTGTGGGGGTTTTTTCAGCTTGTCTACACTAGTTAGGAAAGAAATGCATAGGGAGCATTGTAATATCTGAGAATAGAACACAACAAAATCTGAAAATATTTTAAAGCATAAGACAGCTTAAGTGTGTCTTGTTTGAAAATCATCGACTCGGTGGTGCCAATTCTTTGAGATCATTCTGGAGTTTGCGTAATTTTTAACGTTGTGCATTCTTCGTATCTTATCATTTTGAATTTCCAGCACGACATTAAATTATGAATATTCACATTGAATGACAACTGTGAACAAATATCACATTCTGCAAATTTGCCTTTAACCCATATTGATTGTCCAGAATTGAATTCAGCCATATGTTTTACTCTTCTGATAGTGCGGGCAGTATCAAGAGGCTAACTATTTGTCATAATTATGGATCCGAGCCACACGGCTTGCGGGTAAATCCATGCTCGTGTGTGCATGTGCGAGAGAGAGAAACGCAAGGATTGCCACAGGGGCCTGGAGATCTGATGTGAAATAGAAACACAGAGATGGGAATAAACATAGTTGTTCACTCACTCTCTCCCTGTCTTCCATTGATCAGCAGATACCTTAAAGGCTGCTGGGAAAACATGTTAATTGACTCCTTCACTGCCGAAAAAAAAAAAAACCTTCCTCGCGCAAACATTCTGGAGGATTTTTTTGTGGCCTGATGCTTTTATTGACCTGCTGCCATGCTCAGAAAACTTCACCTCTTAGGCTTAAGAAACGCTCCTCACTCACTCCTGCTGCAGATATCACATCTCCACGCACCTTTATAATGCATCAGACATAAACATTTGCATTTAGATCGCCTCCTCCTCCTCTTTTTTTCTTTTTTTTTTTCTTGGAGAATTGCACTATAGTGAGGCGGGATCTGAGTCAATACTGCGGTGGGTTCCTAAGGAGAATGGATGGAGGCGGTAATGAAGGCGAACCACCAACACAAACAGGCCGCCCGGCCGTTCCTCCGCCCGGTGCCGTGCAGCACCTGGAGTCGTTAGTTTTAATTAGCGCAGGGGGGTGTTAGGAGCTCCTCTCCACCACCCACCCAACTATCCCTCCGCTGGTGCGCAGCTGAATACTGATGCCCCCCCTCCAGATTAATTACGATACCAGCTGCAGACTGTAAAAGATTCAAAAAGCTTGTCCGAAATAATTCATCAGGTCAACATATGGATTTGCTTGGACGAATCGTCGATTAAAGAGCTTATCCGCAATTGTTGTGGCAGCAGAAGTTCTGCTAATGTACTGTACGGCGGCAGGAGTGTGAGTGTTGT